AAGTGAGTGAACAAAGCACTGATTAGGGCGGTGCGTGGGGTGAGGGCTCCCGTGCCCAGCATCAACCTTGTCTTCATTGTCTCATTGCATCCTCACAGCTCGGTAAACCTGTCACCATCTGTCCCCATTGTACAGTGAGAGGAAGCTGTCCCCCATGGTGTCCGGCTTGTAAACAGCTGAGCAGAACCACACGGAGTCTGATTGCTTCCTGTACCTTTATGGGCCGTGCTCAGGGCTCTGCCCTGATGCCCAGAACAGTGCCCGGCCCATGAAGGGGAGCCCTACTGATGTGCTGGTGAGTGAGAGAATGAATGAATGAATGCTTCTGCCCAAACATTCTCCAGCGAGAGCCTCATGGGATGATACCACCCCTCCCTCTGGCCGCAGCCCCTGGTGGTGGTGGTGGTGGTGGGGCGTCTGATTTTCCCAAAATAAAAGGGTGTGGGGACCGGAAGTGTGGCTCTCTGTGCCCCACCCTGACGTCTCTGGGCGCAAGGCCAGCAGCCGGGTTTATTTCCAGTGCTGGCCAATGCTTTCAGCAGAGTATTTTTGGAGCACACACAAGCCTCCTTTTAGCTGTGGGGGTTGTTCCTGCGCTGGCCGGAGACCCCTGGCCACTCATATGCTACCTGTGACTGCTTGCCTGCAGTGAGACCGGACAATGGTCGTTGGCGGCTTTCCCTGGGAGTCCCCGGACAGGATGCAGGTTGGGGTGGGCTCCTCCCCACACCCTGAGCTGGGCCACTTTCTGGGCCTGCTGTGCCCATCTGGAAACTAGAAAGTTCTGCAGGGCAGGCCAGCTCTCAGACTGGCAGTAACGGAAGACTTCATTCTTCCACCTCCTGCTGTGAGGACCTGGGCCAGTCACCAAACTCCTCAGTGCCTCGATTTTCTTACGTGTCAAAAGGGGTAAACAACCTTCCTTAACTATACAGTTCAAGGTTCCTAGGAGGCTAAAACAGGAGGCGAGCCCTCAAAGCACTTTGGAAAAAGCGAAGCTGCCCTACACCGTACACAGCATCATGTTCTCCCTTAGTGATAATATGTATGACTCCATGTTTTTCCTTGTAACTCAGCCCGAAAGTTAAAGTACAACCCTTGTTTTGTTTCCTCATTTTCCGATGAATGAGCACATTCACTAGATCTCTAATAAAATGAACCACACACTTAATCATGTCATCGTCCTGTTTAAAATATGGTGCTGGCCCTTTTTGTCTAGAAGATAAAATCCAGGCCTTTCCGGTGGCTTCAGGCTGCAAACATTCTCCCGAACCTGCCTGGAACCAGCCCCGCTAATCTGCTTCCTGCCTCCTGAACAAGCCCTCTGATGTTATGCCTCCTGTTGCCTCCTGGCCTTTGCACTGGCTGTTTTCTGTGCCTGAACTGTTCGCCATCTGGTGAACGCCTACTTACCCTACGAAACCCAATTCAAAAGGTCCCGTCTCTGAAACACAGTTAGGTATCCTGGAAAGTACGTGGGCCTTGTGGTCATGAAACTTGGGTTCCAGTCCGAGCGCCACCTTGTCACTTGACAAATCACGTCGGCTCTCAGTCCCTTCTCTTGTAATTGTTTCTGTCTCTCCACTGAGACCTGGCACTCCTGGTGGGGCTTCAAGTTTTGCATTGGCCTTGTCCCAAGGCAGTCCTAGGGGAAGGTGGGGCACCCCAACTTTACTCAGGAAATACAGGGCTGGGGGCGTTCGTACCAGTAAGCAGAGACTGCTTATAAGCGAGGCATGATCCCTCCCTTAGGGGCCACGTTCCTAGAGTGGGTCCCAGCATGGGGTCCACAGAGCCCTAAGGACTCACTCCAGACCTGGGCTGGCCCACACTGCGCAGCCGGTCTCCAGCCTGCGTGGACCCCCACGTGAACCCCCGCGTGCCCGTGCTTGACCCCCTACGTCACGTGACCCCACGTAGTGCACATGCGTTCTGACTGTGGAGTTGGCTCCTGGCTCCGTGGGTGCCAGTGGCAGCCCCAGGCCGCCCTCCTCAGGAGGCTGTGAGCACCATGCCCGCCTTCCAGATCCCAGAGAGGGAGTAGGTTAATCCTAGATTAACCTGAACACGGAAGCAAAGCCCCCCAAAACCAAATGTCACTCCCAGCCTGGAGGAAGGTGGTTTTAAATCTACTGCTCAGCTATCGCATTCAAGCATTCAAGCATCCGATTTGCCCTGGAGGTGACCACCCACCTTCGTGGGGAAACACACCCTGGCTGTCCCCTTGCAGTGGGGGCAGGGGGGATGGAGTGACATCTGGGGGCCGGAACCCCATGAGGCCACTGGGAGACTCTGCCTTGTCCAGATCAAAGACAGTTGTGATGGTCCCAGGCTGTTCTAAGCAATTAAGTTGGAAGGGCAATTAGTGACACTTAACAGTTAGTGATGAAAGTCATCCTGCCCCCCATCCCCTGTGGGCAGGGATGGGGCAATTCCAGGGCTCCACCCAGGACTGACTCAGACTCTCTGGGGGTGGGGCCTGGGCTTCTGCAGTTTGAATATATTTCCAGAAGAGTCTTCCTCGGTGGCAAGGTGCTCCTGTCCTCTCCCTGGCCAGCTGGCACCCACTTTCAAAGTTATCACTCCAGCTCCGTGGACACACCTCCTTGCCCACTGGACACTTTCCAAGTAAGTCGAGGGCCCCCCATTCAGGGTCATCAGAACCGAGCATCCCTTTGTGGGCTGTCCCCACCCCACACCCAGCCACCTGGTTCCCTTCTCTGGGTGCCATCCCCTCCCCTGGAATCTCCCACCATTGCTCCCTCTCTCCTGCCCCACGCACAGTTCACGCCCCAAATATCCTGGAATCCATTCCTGCTGTTCCCTCCATCACCACACGCTATCCCAAGCCGGCCACCGCCATCTCCCCACCTGGCCCGCTGCCCGTTTCCACCCTTGCTCCACGAGTCCACCTCAGCCTGAGCAGCACCTGGAGGGTGCAAGTCTGGTCACACTGCTGCCACCTTCAGCCTGGGCCTCTTCAGGGCCTTTCCCTTGCTCTTGGGACAAAATCACACTCATGACAGTTTTCAGCTGCAAAACAAAAAAAAACAAGCCACAGCCAAGGTTGGCGCAGCAAAGCAAGCTATTAAAGGGCAGCGGGCAGCTTGCGGGCCTCAGGGGTACAAGTGCCCCAGGACTGGTGCGCAGCGGCTCCAGGGAACCTTCAAGCTAGCACTGCCACTAAAAGCCACCACAAGACCTCTGGTGTGTTGCTTCAGCCCATGTAATGTGTCACCAGCTTCTGACTCGATGCCCAGTTGGGTCCTGGGCTTTGGGCCAACTCTGAGCCGCCGAGAGGCAGAGGCTGGGTAGGGGCCCCCAATTGGGGTCAAGAGCTTCTTAGGTACGTGTCGCTCGGTGACAGGGAGCCCGGAGGCAGAGCGAGTTGATTTAGCCACTCGGGATGGTCGTCTCGGGACTCTGCTGTTCGCTACACAGATGTCACTGTGAACATGAGGTGTGCCAGGAACAAGAGAGGTAGACACGTCTTTACTTGTGTGTTTACCGTGTCCTGTGCGAGCAAGTCACGGAGTCCTCACAGCACCCTCGGAGGTGGGGACCAGAATTTGTAGATGAGTTCCTTTGCCAATGGCACATAGCTGCTAAGTGACAGAGCTGGGGTTTGAACCTGGGCGGTCGGCTGCAGAGCCAGCCCTGTTACCTGTTATATCTGCCTGCTGTGACCCCATCCCTGCGGGGTCCCCTTTCCTGCTACTCGAACGTGGATCTGTGCTGGGATGGAGTTGGTCTCCCAGTCTTGTCAATCCTCATACACTGACTTTCTTTCCCAACATCTTTGGTTTATGATCTGGGGCCAGATGACAGAAAAGTCCCCTTTCGCGACAATAGAACTGTGTGGGCAGGCCGGGGGCCTCTGAAGGTCTCTGGGAACGAACGTGTGATCTGAGCGTTTACACCCAGTCGAGATGTACAGGTGTAAAGGCAAGTCATTGAAAACACGCAGTCACTTAGGAATACAACGACATTTCGTGACCTTCACCACGTGCCCCTCTCACTCACCACACATCTCCTTGAACCTCACAGCAACCCTGGAAGAGGGAGGGTCCTATCAGGTGAGAAAGGGAGGTTGGGGAACAGAGGCTCCATTGTGGGGTCCCCCAGCCAGAGGGAGGCGAAGCGGGCAGCCCCACGCTGAGCCCTTTGCTGAGAATGAAGCACGGACGGGTGGGTGAATGGAGCACATAGCTGAGCGCCCAGTGCTAAGTGCGTGTTCTTTGCTTGGAGCATGGACCCTGCCTGGGGAGGAGGACCCTTGGAGTGGCCTGCGGGGATTCAGGGGCTGGAGGCGCCTCCCTGGCTGACCTGCTGGGACTAGGGGCTGTGACTCGGTTACCGCAAAGGGCCCTGGCTGTGGCCTGCTGCACCCACCCTGCCGCAAACTCTCACAGCCTGATCGGCCCGAGCCCAGGGAAAGCAAAGCCCACTGGGGACTCAGAACCCCTCAGATGACAAGCTTTCCTGCCTGCAGGTAACTCCGGCCCCTGCAGGACCCCTGGGTCTGGCCCTTATTGCTGCCGTTTTCATTTATTTGCTCAGCAAACCCACAGTAAACCCTTACAAAGCTGCTGGACGGACAGTGCTGGAAGCAGCAAAAAGGAAGCCAGGGCTAGAGGCCCTTAGGGTGCCAAGCTTACTGGGGCAGGAGGGGTGGGGGCAGGGGGGCGAGTGAACAGGAGGGGGGGGACAGGGGGCGCAGGAGGGCCTGCTGCTGGTAGTGGGGTCAGGCAAAGCTGCCCTCAGACTGGGGGTGGAGGGCGGAGGAAGCCGCCTGCGCAGGCTGCGGGGCACCCCTCCTGGGCGTCGCTCCAGCTGGAGACCCCTCTGGGAGAGGAACACGGACCCAGACCCCTAGTGACGAGCAAGGCTTTGCTTATGTTACTTCCACACACACACAAGGCCCGATACAAGCTCACGCTCTAGTCCTCATAAACTGCAAAACGCCAATAAATGTACAAATGAGATACCTGCAAAATGGATATGATTTAGATCATGTAATCAAAGTTTAGTAGTGTGAAGTTATCGTTTTTTAATTGTGGTAAGATAATACCTAAGATTTACCCTTTTACCCATTTTCGTGTCACCGAGCACATTCACAATGTTGTGTGACCATCACCACCAGCCATCCTGAAGCTCGTCACCTCCCCACACAATAACTCTGTCCTGTCCAACAAGATGATGGTGTCACGTGTCTGCACTGTCACCAGGCTGGTCTGGGAGGTGGGAGGCCTGGCGCCCACCTGGCGTCTGGGGTGACTCAAACAGTCCGTTTTTCTCTTCAACCCTAACCAGGAAAGCTGTATCCACGTGTCCCATGGCTCTAGCTCCATGACGACCCCCGTTCACCCCCTGAATCGACCTCTGTTCCTTGGTGACAATTACCGTGGTTGGTATAGACGTGTGACTCTTGCCACAGGGTCTTTAGTCAGACTTAACAACTGAGGGCTTCTTTGATGAAAATGGATTTCAGTTGCAAATGTCCCCTGTAGAAGACAAGTTCTGCCTTTGTGGCAGCAGACGGACGGTGACAGGCCATTTTCGCATGAGCACATGCGCCCGTCACGCTCTGCCTGGCCGGTTCTAGACGCAATGCACACAGTGATCGCGCGGTTAGACAGCAGCCAGCAAGATGACTCAGGATAGTTATGGAAATAAAAACACAAAACCAAGAAATATGTAGTTTGTGGTTTCTAAGAATAGTCGAGGTCTGCAGATGGCGGATGGGTTAGAAGGGGTTCGGAGGGCAGGGAAGAGACCAGGTGAGGGGGGGGTAGGCTCACTGGGAGGAGGGGGCAGGAAGGAGAGATGGGGGGTGAGGCTCACTGGGGGGAGGGGGCGGGAAGGAGTGACGCCTGAGGTAACTGGGAGCTGTTACATATGGGAGAGAGAGCCCCAGGCAGGAGGGATGCACCTTAGATGGTGGTACCAGGCAGCGAACTGGGCAGGGCTGGGGTGGCGGAGATGCTGAGTTTGAGCTTTGTGGTGGGCAGAATGTCTGCCCCCCACAGTCCCCACGTCCTAACCCCAGAACCTGTATGCTTCCTTACATGGCAAAAGGTGTTTGTTGCCCCTTGGTGCTGACAGTCCGGGTCTGGGTGCCACAGGGTGACCTGAGAAGCACCAGGGACCTGAAAGGTGGGGCCGAGGACCTGCACTCTCTTGGGGGGCTGAGAGAGAAGAGGGTGGTGGACTGGCGCTGGGAGAGGGTGTGCAGGAGTGGCAGAGGGAGGACGACAACCAGGAGAGAATTTCATGGAGCATGGTCAAGAGGTGTCGAAAGCCCTGAGATCGAACAAGACAGAACAAAGGTGTATACAACGGGCTTGGCAACCTGCGGCCTCAGCAAGTGCAGGCTTGGGGGTGTGTGTGTGTGTGGTCGTGGGGGTGCCAGGGAGGAAGAGGCAGCGGGCGAAGAACGAGGCGAGTGAGTGGGGAGAACATGGCACGAAGGAGGGCCTGCCACGATCCCGTGCTCTCCGTGGAAGGGTGCCGTGGTCAGTGACCCTGCGGCGGGGTGACTGCCAGAGCCTCGTGTGCGCCTGCCCAGGGAGCAGGGCTGGACAGTCGGGGGCGGGTGTGAAACCGGGGAAATTGTGGGGGGACAGAAGACAAGGCGGCTGGCCCTTTGGTCCAGGAAATACTTCATTAAATTCTCCTTCATTAGACTGAAACCTGCAAAACACTTTCTCAGAGGAAAAAGAATTGTAAGCAAAGCGTGGCTCTTAGCTCTACCTGTCAAGTAAATCACGTAACTTGCGTGCACCTTTATCAGAAACATAAATTTTACATGATTGCAAAACAAACAATAGAAAGGAACAAGCATTTTCTGTAAGTTGCTATGAGAAATCCTTGTCCGAAACCTGGAGCAGCTCCCACTGAGGGCTTAGCGCCCATTACACATCAATCTTATGTCCCAGGAGAGGTTATGAGGATCCAGAACACTCCGCCTTGAAGCGGTCGTAGGGAAATGCTGTGTGCAGGTCTGTTCGGAGGGGAGGGGAGGAAGCGACATCTCAGGACCACAGGCTCGAGTGTCCTGAGACCATAAAGAATAGCCTTTTGACAGACCTCCAGGTGGCATTTCACTGCTTACTTCGAAGGGACCTGAGAAGCCGGTTACCACCCATTTGGACAAGCACTTGTGCTTGGTGACAGAGCCACAGGGCTGAGCCCAGGACTTGAACCCAGGTCAGACTCGAAAGCCACGTGCTCCACTGCTCTCTAGGGACACTCCCCACCCAACAGTCCAGGTCACAAAAAACCCCATTATAGAAAATGTGGAAAATGCAGGAAGTCTAAATAATAACCACCATCAGAAAATAACCGTTCTGACACGCTTGTTGTGTGTATTTCTACTTCTAGTGCCCACAGAAGCATTTGGGCTTTTTCTACACCCTGGGTGCGTATTTAATATGTGGTCCCTTGTTTTACAAAGCTGGGGACACTGCTTCCCGAGGGCAGGCTGCTTGAACAGGAGGATGTGGCTACCTGACTCTAAACCCCCATCTTCAGGGGGCGGTTTCTCCTGCAAGTTGACCTCACATTCCAGCTGCGACCTGTTGACACCCTCCGCCCCCCTCCAGGCCCTGGAAGTGGACGCCTGCATGGCTCAGCATAGGATGGAGGCACTCCCTCACTCGTCACCTTTCCTGAATCTTGTAACTCAAGGTCTGAGGCTTGTGCTGGTGAGATGAGATCACACGATGGGTCACGGTCACAGGAGGCTGCTCTGAAGTCCGGGCTCCTCCCCGCTCAGCACAGGACAGCAGCTGCTCTCCGGAAGTCCTGGGATGGCAGTGCCTGGGCAGGCCCAGTGCCTCACTGCACGTGGGAGAGTGATGGGGAGCAGAAGTGGGCACAGCTGGGGCCTGAGCCCTGGCTAGTATTCTCAGGAAACGGAAAATTTCGGGTGCAGTGTTGTCAAAGCCTGTCAGGGCATCTGGTGTGATGGAGGGTCGGGGGTCCCTGCAGGTATGGCCAGCACGCAGGGGGAGGCAGGGCATTGTCGGGATGTTAGGTATTCCCACAGTTGAGCAATTTTGGCTACAAATCATAAGGGAATGGCAGCGCCTCTACATCGGCCTCTGCTCAAAAAATACGAACGTGTCCCAGAAGACCTACTTCCCAAAGCTGCCGATGTGCCAAGCCACTCACATTTAGACGGTGGGGATGTGTCTGTCATCCACAGAACTAGCCCTGACCCGAGGCTTGAAGAGGCCGGAGCTGCTGGCAGGTGAGGGCTGTGCAGCGTGTCACACAGGGTCGGGCCACAACGTAGGGCCTGAGAGCGGCCCAGGTGCTTGGCACACTCAAACCTGTGAGGAATCGGTTAACACGTGTGCTCCCGGCCGGGCTTTCGGGGTCCACAGGACAGTGCCACCTCTGTCCTGTGTGCTGCCACGGCCCCGGCTTCCAGCACAGTTCCCAGCATCGGGAAGCTTATCTGCGAAGGTGCGGCGGGGCTCAAAGGCCGGCTCCACAGCTTCCCGGGGACAGCGCTGCTGGGATCTTAGCAGCCCAAGGTCCAGGCGGCATGGCATGGCATCCCATCACATGTGGCTTTCCTAAGGCCACAGCTGGAAAGCCTGGAGGCGGCCAGGGCCCAAGCCGGCACAAGCTGCCCTGGCAGACAGGTGTGCCGAGGTAACACGCCCCCATGGAGGCGAGTGCAGCTTCCGGGAAACGCCGCCATCCATGATGAGCTGCGCCGGAGACGGGAATCATCTGGGCTGGGACTTTTGAGAATGTGTGAATTGGCACCATCAGCGGGGGTGGGAAATCCTGTAACGTGGAGGGCTCTGCTGTAGAGGCACTTGCTTTACCAGGATTACCTTAGAAGCGGGAAGGAAGATTGCTTTTTAAAATTACAGGAGCCAGCTCCCATGCCAATTCTGTTATCAAATAGAGATTTTGATACAAAATAGGAACAAACTGTGGAATTACGGGAATTGTAACACTTCCAGAAACTGGCACTTCTGGAGGGTGCTTCTGAGCACTCAACAGGCGTTACCTTGGAGGAGCCCTAACTCTCAGGGCCAAGGCCTGGGGCATGGGCGCGGGAGGTCCCCATACGAGGTCAGGGCGCTTCTCACCCGCGCCACACGCCTTGGTGTATGGCCTACACTGATGGCCTCCGGCCAACTGTGGGGGTGGCAGAACGACGAGTATGGGCTCTGGGGCCAGAGGGCGTCTGCTCCCAAGCCCAGCTCTGCTACCCAGTTTTTCTCCAGCTCCACTGTGCTCTCCTCTCCTCCCTGTAGAATCGTACTGGTAGGAGCTGCTAGCTTTCACCGATTCCTTCTGTGTGCTGACCTGGCTCCGAAACGTCCTCCTGTAGGGACTCTTTAATGGGGACACGACCATCCCGACGGGGCACCACGAGGAATGAACGGAAGCATGTGCAGAGGGCCCAAGCCCTGCCTGGCACGGACGGGGTGCTCCCTACACGCCAGCTTTCATGGAGCAGTCAGTCTGGCCGTGGGAGCGCTGGGGCCCCTCCCCCCGGCTCACTGCCAGGGCTTCGCAGGGCTGGCACCGGAAGGCACCTGGTCGACCTCGGTGGACGGAACCAACATTCCAACTGTGCCAATGCCCTCGGTCCCCCAGGAGACCAGCTGGGTCATCAGAAGGCTGTCGAGGAGGGTGCGTCTGAGTCCCATGATATCTGGGACTCTGGGACGCTCCCACTGTCCCCGTTGTTCTGGAGGGCCCGGGCCTGCTGAGCCTCCTCCACGAGGTCAGCCACCAGGTTCAGCCGGCACGCCCTGAGCGCCCCCACCAGGTGCGACACCGCCGCGTCCTCCCGCTGCGTGTTCCGCCAGACTCTCAATGACTCCCTGACTTGTTCTGTCAGGTTTCGGGGATACTTCACCTCGATGGCGTCGATCTTGCTGTCAGACACTTTCAGCTGGCGAGCCAGTCTTCTCCAGTCCTTCCCCACGTGATCACATATGATGTCAAATGCTGCATACAGGTCTGGGACGGAAAGAACAAAATGATTTACCAGGTGTGGGGGGGCTCTCCAGGAGACAGGTAACCCCACGTTCTCCAACGGGCTTCTCCCAGTGCTGACCCGAGTGCTGGGTACACCAGAGGTCTTCTTGCAGAGGCTGGGAGGTCACAGAAGGATCAAGAGTGACCTCTAATCCTACCCCGGCCAACCCCAGCCCCAAACACTACTCAAGAGGTGTGGCCTGCTGAAGATTGACGGCTGGGAGGGCTGCAGTGGGGCTGGGGGAGGGGCTGGGAGTTGCCAGAGGACAAGGGTTGCTCCCCACGCCATCCCGAATGGTGGCCACTAAAAAGACACGTCCAGGCCGAACCCCTGGACCGTGAATGTTATTTAGAGAAGGGTCTCTGAGGATGTGATTAAGCTGAGGAGGATCTTGAGATGAGATGATTCTGGGATATCCAGTGGGCCGGCCCCAAGTCTAGTGACAAGTGTCCTTAGAAGACAGACACAGGAGAGGCCACGTGACCATGGAGGCAGAGACTGGACGGGTGTGACTACAGCCCAGGGACGCCTGGCACCCAGAAGCCGGAAGAGGCAGGAAGGAGCCTCCCCCAGAGCCTCTGGAGGGAGCACGGCCCTGTCACCCCTGGATTTCTGACCTTGGCTCCAGAATTGTGAATCAATTTCTATTGTTTTAAGCCCCCATATCTGTGGATGGCAGCCTAGGAAGCCAACACACACCCCAGTTCTTATTTTGGAAGCTGCCCTGACTGACCAGCAGGCTACCATGTCCTCATCTGCTGAAGTCACCACTGAGATGAGCGAGCTGGGCACTACAGACCATGAAAAGCTGATTCTGGAATGCGGAGAGAAGGACCAGCGTGGCTTGGAGGGCTCCTGCGAATTTGCATCTCCAGCTACAAGCCCCCGAGACACGTCAGCCTGCCTGCCAGCCCTTCCAGCCCTATGAGGTGGTCACTTCCATTTGCACAGGTGAGGACACTGAGACATGTGGAAGGTGAGTGACCTTTCTGAGGTCACAGAGCTGGGCAATGGCCGAGCCAGGATGTGAAGCCATGACAGTCTGATGCCAGAGCCCTTCTTAACCATGATGGTCAAGTGTCTTCCGTAAAAGAGTGACACCGAATCGCCCTTTAGCAGCCCACCCACACCTGCTGTTCACCTCCCAACATACAGTAACTACATAAATAAAAACGCGCGCGCGCGCACACACACACACACACACACACACACACACACACACACACATCTAAACTGGTATCTATAATTTGTGGACTGCCTTTTAAATGCATTATATCAGCATTCCCCCGCGGTATAATTTCCCTATGTTCCGTTTTGTCTAGCACTGTCTGTGCGTGTCTGACTTCAGGCCGCGCTGTGCTGTCCAGCTTGCCACCAATCCTATGGAGCGATGCCTGTGGCGTCACGTTTATATCCTTTTTGGTTCAGTGACTGAAGGACCAACTCCAGGCCACAGCCTGAAGCCTGAGGGGGGTGCCCCCAAAGCACTTCCCATCCCGTCCCCAGGCTCTGAGGACACAGGGGTGTGGCTGGGACACCCTGCTGTACTCAGGTCTCCCTTCTACTCCTGGAAGCCTCTGCAGGCCACAGGCGAGGGTGGAAGATGGGGGTGCCTGAGAGAAGGGTAGGAAGTCAGTACAGAACGGACTTGACGAGAGGGGCATTTTAGTGGCGAAAGCCACCCACCCCCGAGGCCACCCTGCCTGGGTTCAACCCTAGCTCTGCTGGTTACTGACTGTGCAAGTCACTTAACATCCCTCTGAGCCACACTCCCCTCATCATCAAAAAGGAAGTGATGACAGACAAGGATGACAGTCTTTAACTAACGGCGTTATTATGAAATCAAAACATGTAACGTGCTCAGAACAGTAACCGGCACTGGCTGGATATGCTCCCCGGGGCACAAGGGACGTGCCCGCAGCCGCGCTGGCACACCCACTTTCTGCCCCACCTGCCCTGCCCACTCCTCCCCACCCAGAGGTGTCTTCTAGTTCACCTGGAGGGAGTGAGGTGGTGGAGAAAGCCCTGAGGTTGGGGGTTGGGGGTGTGTGTCCATGCTCTGTAATCGGCGGTAAGTTAATGTTTCTGAGTTTTGATTCTCCCATCTGCAAAGCGGGCATGTCACCTGTCTCCCAGGGTTGTTTAGGGAAACCCCACGCAAACTACACCTGGTGAAGGTTGGGCGCCCGGCGGACGGGCTCTGCACCCCCCGGGGCCCCGCCCCCGACTCCTGTCCCAACCCGTCTCTGGCACTTGTCCCCGTTCTGTGCCTCAGTCCCCGCCCCAACTCTCTCAACCCCCGTCCCAACCCTGGTCTGCGCCCCGCGCCCACCTTGCTCCTCCGGCGCGGCCCGGCTCGTCGCGCCCGCCTGGAAATCGTCCAGCAGCCGCAGCAGGTCCTGGCGCCGCAGGGAGGAGAGCAGGTCGCGCAGCAGCTCGGTGTTCTGCGGGTCCAGCTCGTTCTGCTCCAGCAGCACCGAGAAGAGGTCGAGGCCGCTCTGCACGCGCTCCAGCTTCCTCTTGCTCACGCAGCTCTGGCACAGAAACTTGATATCGGTGAGCTCGCTGCTCGATAGGCCGGCCGACACCGAGTGCAGCAGCACCAGAAACGGATCCATGGCGGAGGGCGACGGCGGCCCGCGGGCGCGCACGGCGGGACCCGGGCCCGGCCTTCCGCGCACGTCCCCCGCCCGGGCCCGCCGCCCCCGGACCCCGCAGCTCTGGTTTCCACTTTATGCGGCCCTAACGTCGGCCCCCACTACCGGAAGTCCGCCCGGGGCCAGGTTGTCCGGCGTCTCGCGATAACTCCGGGTCCCGCGCATGCGCTCGGAGCCCGACTGTTGCCGTTTCCGCCCGGGAGGCACGCCTGCCGCCAGGAGGCGCCTCGGACAGGCTGGCGGTGCGGGGCTGGGACGGCTTCTGCGCCTGCGCCCTGAAGACCTCCCTCGGGGTGGGAACGTCTGGCCTTGAGAAGTCCCGAACTCCCGAGCGCGGGCTGGGAGGGAGGGCCTGCGTTTCCTGTGGAATGTTGCACAACGGATGTCGATATTAAGTGCGTTTATTATTAACATTTGTGATAATGCATGCCCTTTAGTGCCCCCTGTACACCTGTGTGTGGAAAAAAGACAACTCAGAGGTTTATTTAGGTGTTAACGTTTGTTTAACGTTTGATTTTTAAAGCTGTCATTGATGCTTTGAATGCTTTTTAACATTTATTGAGCGCCTACTGTGTGCCAGGCAGTAGGTGCTGAGGACAAATTCGGGAACAAATCGGAGGAAGTCCCTGCCTGCCAGAGCTTAGTCATCAGGACACGAGCTTACAAAGCACAGATAGGAAAGTGCAGTGTGCTGGCAGTCAGCACAGCCAGGGCAGAGAGGATAGTGGGTTGGGGTGTGTGGAGGTGGGGGCTGCCGCACGTTTACAGGTGTGGTCAGCAGGCTGCAGGTGCAGGGGGCGAGGGGCAGATATGTAGGCCTGGGGGTGGAGCGTGCTGGGCGGGCACAGGGAGAGCAGAGTAGAGGTGCAAAGAGCCCAGGTACCAGGAGCAGGGTGGGGTGGGGGGAGAGGGGGCAAATTAGGGGGGCCTCACAGGCTAGGTAAGGGCCAGGCTTTTCTGCCCCTGAGATGGAGCAGGTGAGAGGAGTGAAGCTAACTGAGTTATTATTTTTTTAAATTATATATAAATTATATATATGTATAATTATATATATACAAATATATATATTTGAGAGATCATTCATATTCCAAATAACTCACCCTTTTAAAGTGTACAATTCAGTGGTTTTTAGTATATCCATAAGGTTGTACAACCTTCACCATTAAATAATTTTGGAACATTTTCATCACTCCAAGTAGGAACCTGGTACCCATTAGCAGTCACTTCCTTCCCCTCCCCCCCATCCGCTGGCAACTGCTAATTTACTTTCTGTCTCTTTGGATTTGACCATTCTGGACATTTCCTGTAGATGGAACCATATAGTTTGTGGCCTTTGTGCCTGGTTTCTTTCACTGAGCAGAATGTTTTCAAAGCTCATCTGCGTTGTAGCTTGTCAGTGCCTTTTTATGGGTCAATAGTATTCCATCGATGGATGGACCACATGTGTTTTTGTTTTTGTTTTAAAGATTTTATTGGGGGAATCGGGGAAGGGGAACAGACAAGCTGCCGTCTCTCTGTTCCTCAGTCCAGCTGTGGAGGACGTCACCTCACTGGCCCATGTTGGTATTATCATTGCATTCTTCCCGGGTGAGGCAGATCGGTCGCTGGCCACTGGACGGCTGCTCACGGTGACTCCCAGCAGCCCATACCAGCTGCCAGCCACCCACGGTGGCCTAAGGCAACCCACTGCAGCCTCACTGCAGCCTACGCCATCGCCTGCGACTCATGGCACTCCGCTCCAGGTCGAGTTGTTGTTCACCATCTTAGCTGTAGAGGGCAGTGTCACTGGCGCCCATGTAGGATCCTAAGCAAGGCCCTGCTGCTCAGAGCTGGCGTCTGAAGCCAACTCTTAACCATCGCGCCACTCAGCTGTCCGGACCACATGTGTTTATCCGGTCGTCAGTTGATGAACATTTCCGTGGTTTCCACCTTTTGGCTCTTATGAATGATGAACTCTGAGTTGCGTTTTTAAGGAATCAGTCTGCCACTGGGCAGAAGCCAGGGGACTCTGTGACAATGAAAGGAGGGCACTTGGACTCAGTGCAGCAGAGGAGGTGAGAAGGGAGCAGCCTCCTTTGGATTTGGAGATGTACGTGAAGGATAGGAGCTGAGGATGGAGTGTCCATTGACGGACCCGGGGAAGGTGCGGGTGGGTGGGTTTGGGGGAGGACCTAGCAGAGATGTGCATGGGACAGTGGGATACACACGCTAGGCTTTGGGACAGAGCTCTGGGCAGGTGATGTGAATCTGGGACTATTCTGTGTGTTTGTGATGGTTAATTTTGCACGTCAGCTTGACTGGGCTAAGGCTGCTGGGATAGCGTAAAACATATTTCTGGGTATGTCCGTGAGGATGTTTTTAGAAGACATCAGCATTTGAATCGCTAGACTGAGTCAAACAGATGGCCCTCCCCACTGTGCACGTGGGCCTCGTCCAATCTGTTGAGGGCCCAGATAGAACAGAAAGGCGAGGAAGGGTGAAGTCACGCTCTCAGCTGGAGCCAGTCATCCTCTCCTGCCCTCGGGCAATGGCGCTCCTGGCTCTTGGGTTTTTGGACTCAGGCTGGGACTCACACCATTGACCCCCTGGTTTTCAGGCCTGTGGACTCTGACTGAACTATACCACTGGCCTTCCCGCTTCCCCCACTTGCAGACAGCAGACAGTGGGACGTCCTGGCCTCTATAATCGCATGAGCCGATTCCTATAACAATCTCCTCGTATATGTGTACACATATCCTATTGGTTCTGTTTCTCTGTTACATCTCGACTAATATGGTATTTAGAGCACCCTCAGAATAAGGGCATCTATGAGTATGGGGAGCAAAAAGAAAAGGGGACCAGTGGCTGAAACCCGGAGTTATCCACTTGTGTGTTTTCTCTGCAGAAATGTCTATTCAATTCCTCTGCCCATTTTCAGTTGGGGAGCTTGTCCTTTTGTTGTTGAGTTGAAGGGGTTCATATCGGATAGGAGTCCCTTATTAGAAGTACAGTTTGCAAACATTTTCTCCCATTTTGTGAATGGCCGTTTCATTCTGTGGATCGTGTCCTTTGATGCACAAAAGTTTTAAATTTTGATGAAGTCCAGTTTATGTATTTTTATTTCACTTAGCTTTGTGTCTTTAAGAAGAAGAAAGAAAAGCATCTTTTACTGGTTTCATGGATGCAAATTGGTCTGTATTTGCGTGGGTGACGAGCAGAATTACTTTCCTTTCTCCTCTTGTATTGTCTTGGCGTCTCCCGGCTTCTTTTGCTTTTTCTGTTTGTTTTTGTCTCTCCCATTCGTCTTTCCTCGAATATCTGGGGACTCTGGGCTTTGCTGGGGGTATTTTTTTCTGAAGAAAAAGCCTCCTTATCAGGGGCAGGGGTGTGTGGTGGACAGAATAATGGTCCCCCAAGATGCCCACATCCTAATCCCCAGACCTGGGCATAAGTTAGTTTACATGGCAGAAGCGGCTTTGCAGATGTGATGAAGATGAAGGACTTCGAGATGGGAGGTTATCCTGGATTATTCCCGAGGACCCAATCTCATGATGAGTCCTCATAAACGGAGAACTAAAGACAGCATGAGACGGGCCCCCCTTACTGGCTTGAAGGCTGCGCAAGGGATCAGTCCTACTCACACCTTGATTTTGGCCCAGTGAGACCCATGTCAGACGTCTCACCCGCGGAACTGTAAGTTAATAAACGTGTGTTGTTTTAAGCCGCTGAAGTTGTGGTAATTTGCCGTGGCAGGAGACAAAATCAAGGCAGGCCCCACGTGCTGGGTCTTTCTCCCTGAGTGCAGCTCCCACAGGCGGCCAGCAGAGGGCAGCAGCCACCAACAGGCAAAGCCAGGGACTGGGCGCTTCTGCTGGAAATCAGGACGGCCGGTCAGGACCCCGGTGACAGTTGGGTGAGGAGGGGTGACCAGGAGGGAGCAGCAAGGGAGGCTTCTGAAGTGCCATGTCATTCTGTTTCTCAGTCTCGGCTACAGAGGCGTGTGGTTTTTGTGGAAGTTGATCGTACACAAGATATGTGCACTTTTTTGTACGTTATACTTCATTAAAAATGTGGGGCAAGCTCATCTCCCCAGGGCTGTGTGAGTGAGCAGTGGGTGGGCTGTTTGCTATGGGCATATCTGTGGGCACCAGACCTTAGCTCCTGTGTACCCCCTTACCTCTCATGTACCCCCTTACCTCTCCCACCAGCACCCTTGCCAGCTTGATTCCAAGGTGCACGCAGCTCAAAGGCAGAAAAACCCAGCTGTTAGTCTATTTGCCTGCCATCCATCCCTCCCTCCCTCCCTCCCTCCCTCCATCCTTCATCCACCCATCCAGCCATCCATTCCTCATTCATTCAGCACTTTCCAGTGCCTTCTCTGTGCCTGGCACTGTGCGAGTGCCCCGTCCTGTTCTGTTTCCTGGCAAATGTGAGCACTTTTCTACCCTGCTGTAGCTCTCACAAAACGCGGACGGTGAATGAGTGTTGCCCGAGTAGGGGTTCACACAACCCCTGTGGTGTGGGACCGCTTTTAAGGGGCATACAAATGGCGCCTGGGTACCTGCAGATGGATTGTGTGGGAGGCGGGCATGAGGGTGCCTTGGGGCAGCAGTTCTGAGTCACCCTGGAGTGGGGAGAAGCCTGTCTCAGGCACATGTCTTGGCCAAGCTCTGTTCCAGGGACTCCCTCAGCTGGCCCTGCATCCCAGGAGAGGGACCGGCCCCAAGGCGCATCTAGGAAGGCCAGTGTCTCCAGGAGCCACAGTCTCAGCTGCCCCCTCGGCCAGTGGGTAGGCACGTTTGGGAGGGTGGGGAGGTGGACTATGGTGGGTGGAGAGGGCACGCACATCTAAAGCAGAGCGGCCACTGCTGGGCTCGTCACGTGTGAGAATGTGACATGGTGAAAAATGGGGCTGTGCTGTCAGATGGTGTGATTTTTTTTTCAAGACAACATGCAAACCTGGATTTTTATTTAACTGGTTTTGATGTATTAACTTAAAAAAAATCGACAACTGCTGAACCTATCAGAGGGAGGTTGTCTTGGGCTGGAAGCAGCTTGCACCAGCCTCCACCATCAGGGGAGGGCAGCAGGACCCCACAGCAGACACCAGTAGGAGTGCCCGCCCCATGCCCACCACACCACTCCTGGGACCAGTAACAAAAAATGTCGGGCCCCAGCAGAGCCTGACCCTCTCTGGGCCTCCTTGTGTTTGTCTGTGAAATAATGGTGCCGGCTGACCAGCTGAGGGGATCCCTACATTGTGAGAGCGCAGGTCTTTTTGACATTACCTGTTGCTTTTTCTCCACCACCTCTACCACTCTTGTCCAAACCCATCATTGTTCACCTGAATTTCTTCAATAATGTCCTCTCAATGGCTGCAATACCTCAAAATGTGAATCAGAGCCCGTCGCTGCCCTGATGAAACCGGCCAGCCTCTGCTGTGGCGCTTAGCACCAAGCTCGCAGCCCTCACGTGATCGGGGAGCCCTGCGTGAGTTGGTTCCGGTCGCCTCCCCTGCCCTCCGCTCCCACCACCCTGTCCTTGGTGCTCCTAGAACTCACCCGGCACGCTGCTGCCTCAGGACCTTTGCATGTACCGTTCCATCTGCCTGAAACAGCCTGCCTTCCTCCAGGAGTTTACGCTCTGTCTCCATTGCTCAGGTCGCCAGGGGCCTCTCTGACCAACTCAGTTACGCTCAGTCATATCACGTTAGATTTTCATCTGCACCCTTTTCTTCCTCTGAAGTTATCTGGCTCTGGGGTTCATTTTCTGGTTCAGCATCTGATGCCCTCTATAAGAACTCATGCCCCGGCGAACGGGCTGTGTCTGCTTTGTTTCTTGCTGTCTTGAACGTTACATGAATGAACGTCTATAGGGTCTGGGTGTCAGTCTCTATAAAGTCTCAGCTTAGGTGCTCAGCAGCCTGTGATGTTAAGACAAGCCTCCCCCCACCCCCCCGCTAAGCCTGTGTTCTCATCCATCAGATGGGGCTGAGGGTCCCACGTGAGCCCTCATGGGCTTCTGGGAGGACCCATGGAGGGGGAGGGGTTCCTGTGACGCTGCCCTGGGTGCTGTCCTTGTTACAGGACTAAGGACATGGCTCCAAAACTTTAGGAGGACGTCCTGGACTGCAGGCACCCAGGACATTGTGAGCTTGTCGTCTGCTGCGATTCTCAGGGACACAGCCCCACAAGCATGAGGGGCACCCAGGTGGTTTAAAAAAAAGTGTCCCCACTTGACCAGATGAAAACACTGGTGACCCTAAGTTGGTCCCCAAAAGGGTGGGGGGCAATTTAGGGCCATGAAATCCTAAATACTCTGTTGGGTTGGTGGGATAAGGGGTCAGGATTTAGGGCTCATGAGACAGGCTGCTGGGAAGATGTGACAACTCCCATCTCAACACACACACACGGACACACAAGCACATACACATATGTGCACACAGACACAAGCTCATATAAACACACGCATGTGTGCACACGAAGCACACACACACATGCATACACATGTGCGCGCACACACACACACTCACAGACAGATGAAATTCCAAGAACATCTAGAACAATTCATGTGTCTGTCTGTACTAAAGGAAACGGGTGCCTGTAAGTCCGTCCTGAATTTGCAGCTCAACCATGGGGTTTGGGGACATTGGGGACGGGCTCTGGTTCTTCCTCGGGCAAACGTCACCAGACAGCGTTCAGTGAGGAGTGTCATGTCTCCACGTTTCTTCAGATGAATGTTCAGCCACGGCCCTCTGTGGATTTGTGTACATTCACTTAAAAAAAAATGGTTTCCGTAAAAGGATTGTTGGTAATCACCTAATTTTTAATATATTTATATACAAAACCCCCATTTCAAACGACTTACTGTACAAGAGAAAACAGAAGCATCAGATTGCATGAGTTTAGCAAATAATGAAAGTCTACGACGCCTACAGACTTTAATCGGAATTGGACGCTACGGGAGCGTCAACGTGACACCGATCACGTGTTCAAGACAAACGCGTTTGTTACCCTCCCTTTGGTAAAACATTTCATGTTTCTCTGGGCGCTTGAGAAATTTCGGATGAGAAGTTCAGGCTAGACTGATTGCTGTAAGTTTAGATCACCCCACATCACCTATGAGGCCTGGGGTTTTTTTTGTTTTTGTTTTTTTACAAGCTTTTAAAATCATAACTGTCCAACAGTAATGTTCCTGTAAGTAAAAATATAGAGAAGTGTTACCAAAATAGAAGCCTTTATTAATAAAAATCTTTGGTAGTAACAGTATTTTTAAATTCCTTTCAATGATATTTGGTTAACTAATAAAATAAATTCCTTCCACCTTTGAACTACAGGAAAAAAAACCCCCTCAAATCCACCGTAGAATTGATTTGGAAAAAAAAAAAAACCACCACTCAATAAATATCCTAAAGCTGCGGATGTCCCCCCGGGAGCCTTGAAGACTTCCGTGAAACCCTTACGTCCTCTTTGGACATGACTCCGAGGTCATCTCTCACTGCCCGTTGTCCTGTCGACCTGGCTTTGTCCCCCAAGGAGGACGGATATTTATAAGGTCAGCTCACCGCGGCGCGGGGAGGCGTGTGTCTGACGGTGGAGACCCCAAAGGTGCTGGTCACCTGCTTACTCAGGGTCACCTGCACCCGGCTAGTTCTCCAGGAGTAAATCTGATGCCCGCACGCCCCCTGGTGGACGGGGCCAGGCCACCTCTCTTTCTGGCCTGAGTGTCTGATTCTGAACCTACAGAAGGAACAGGATGAAAAGTCGGCGGGCTCACTTTGTGGACCCAGAGGCAGGTGGCGCCTCCTGGATCTGGTCTCAGCATCATTTATTCGTCATCCGTGTCGCTATTCTCCCTTCAGTACCGGCCCCGGCCCAGTGCCTTGGGCCGCCCTCCGCCTCTCTCTCAGGGCAGCGGGAGCATGAAAGGAGGTGATTTCCGGATGCCTCTGCCCACCTGCCCCTGCAGAGGGGACCCCAGGATTCCAAGGACGGCTTCTGCGAAGCACCAGCGTCGCCGTGTCACCACCCTACCCCCAGCAATCATCTGATTAACCTTGAATGTTAAAGATAAAAAGATTCCCTGCATAACGGTTTTGTGCAAAAACAAGGAAGATTAAGAAACCAGAAAAAAAGACTAAAAAAAAAAAAAGTCCTATCAGAAGGTGGCAGTCCACGTGTGTGACAAACACAGGAGCCACTGGGCCTTAGGGGGCGAGAGGCCACCTGCCCGGGAGAGGGTGCCGGTCGGCCGGATGGTCGGTGGGTCGGGAGCCAGCGGCCCTACAGGGCGCCGCTGTGGTGCTCGGGGCCGTCCAGGCCGGCCCGCGGGCTGTGGCTGTTGTGCCGCCCGCCCTCCTTCCGGTCCTTCTCCATCCACGTGTCGAGCAGCTGCCGCTTGCCCTGCTCCTCCCGCATGAACAGCTCCACCATCAGCACCTTCTCCTTGTGGATCTGCTGGCTGATGTCCTTGGGGATGTCCGGGATGACCCAGTCCACGAAGTCGCTCATGAACATGACCAGGTTCTGGAGGGAGAGTCAGCGCGTGGGCGGGAGGCCGACCGGGGAAGCGCTCCCCACCTCTACCCGCCTGGCTGCACCCCCCACCCTGTGAGGCTCGGGTTCCCGGAAGGTACAAATGAGGCAGGAAGGCAGCCAGCAGGCCCTCCAGAAGCGTTGGCCGGCTTCTTGAAAGAGTGGGAAAAGTACAGAGGAAAAGTCTCTGGAGGGTTCGGAATGCATTGGCTGGGGGGCTTAAGAAATGACCCGGCTGGTCACGTGTCACCCAATCTGACAAGTACTAAGCCTTTCTAGAAAATACCAGGGGTGCCAAACAAATGTATGCAAGTGGACACTTTGGCCAGCATTGCTCAAGCAGTAGTTCACTGTAATCAGAAGTGTCTGGACGCTGATGGGAACCGCTTTGAGCATCTCTCGTCATTGCAAAAGTCAAACGTGACTTGTATTTACCTTTTGTTAGCGGTATATATTGAGTATTACATTTTAATAGCTTTTCCTTTCTTAAAATGTGTACACATTTTTGGGGCACCCTCTGTAGTTAAAAACAGCAGAAAAAGGGATGGAACTGAGACGGACCGTGATGATTCCGCGGGCCCTTGGGCAGTTTGCAAGGCCTCCCGGGAGCACCCTGAACGACCGCTCGCCCCTGAAGGTTTCTTACTAGAGGAATTTCTGGTTCGTAGAATGCAAATAAGCCAGCTTTCACAGAACCACCGAAGTCTCTAGATCATCTGTTGGCTCGTCTGGCTGACTCAGTTGCCTTGTTGTGGGTGCTGCTGGTGCTCCCAGCCCCCCATTCCCAGCTGGTGCTCCCAGCCCCCCGCTGTGTTGTGTTGGTTGCTAATGCTCACAGCTGCCCCTTCTCCAGGGAACTGCCCCTCCCATCCCCCTCTGCCCCCCTGGACAGCCCACGGCCAACGAATGGCCAAGGTGGGCGGGCTAAAGGCCCTCTCTTGCCTCAAGGTGGGGCCAGGGCTCCAGGGCTCCCTGCAGGAGCAGGCCAGGCCGTCTGCGGCCGAGACCCCTTCCTTGCTGAGCTCCCACCCTATCCTGGGGTCTCCCCTCAATAACGCATTTGCAACAATGCATCTGCTCCTGGGAGCCTGGCCCAGACACGTGTGACTGCAGCGTTCTGGAAATCTGACAGAGGAGGCTGCCGAGCCTTGGGGTGGACGTCTTGCCTGATGCCACCTGTGTCGGAGCAGCTGGGCTTGACCCAGTTTGGGGATTCTAGATGCTAGGGGACACGAGTGCATGGAGCCCCAGCAGGGCCTACGTGGCCGAGGGTGCTCCCCCATCTCTGCGGGACCTCAGCCTTTGTGGGTACCAGCCTGGTCCCCAGTCTGGGGTCCTGTCCACTGGGAATCGTTCTGGCCTCCGTTAGCATACCCCCACTCCCTAGAGATGGGCCGGGTGAGGCCGGGGACTGGAGTCTGCTGGGAGCCCATTCCCTCCTGTGCACTGAGGGACGTCTCCTGCTACACAGAGATAGTGAGAGACAGAGAGCGGGGACCGAGGTGGGGCTCCTTTCCTCTACATCTCCTTCAATAAATGCCACTCGTCCTGAACCGAGCCTGCTTTCCCCAGCGAGTCCAAGTCCTTCACCGGTGCCGGTCCGGCCCCCAGTTACTCATGGGGTTCTCCAGGGACCCGTCCTTGCACAGGCCTGGGCTGCCAGGCCCCGTCCTTGGGGCTCCCAGAGGGAGCTCTCCAGGCCCCGAACCTCGACGCCGGCTGGCCGGCTCCCGCCTTCCTGATCCTATTCTGAGCACAGAGCTTCGTCAGGGCCCCAATTTGCAAAATCCTGGGACAGGGACCCACCGTACCTGGAAGACGATAACGAAGGCCAGCCGTGCTGCCAGGACAGCCCAGAAGTCCTTGGAGATGTCATACTTGTGCTCCGACCACGGGGGCTCCCGGTAATCTTTGTACCTGCAGAAGACGGTGGGATCAAGGTGGGGCTGGAAGAGGAAGGTGGGGTCCCGCCTGGTGCGTGCAGCTCCTGAGAGAGCGGCAGGAGAGTCTCAGCCGGAAGGCAGCTCTCCCTGGGGGGAGATGCCCCCGGCCGGCCAGCCGGCCCAGGGGGACGGTGTCTCTCTTCGTGTTGGAGTGGGCTGGCTGGGACCCATCGCGGGCTGGGAAGGGCCCAAGGGGCTGCATGGAAAATGCAGACCCCAGGAAATATCCCCATAGGCCCAGCCAGGGGGCTCTGGGACCATCTGGAAGGAAGCCCTTTTTTCCATGAGAAGTCCCACCTGAGACCCCACTAGGTCACACAAAGCAAGTGGGGTCTCCCTGGTTGGATGGAGTGGGATTCCCTAAGGCTGGCTCCCCTTAACCTCAATCCAACCACCATCACCCACAAATCCAGGCTGAGTTCCACAGAGCACACTTGGGAAAGCACCTGTCCAGTCTCTCCCCTCTTTGCAGGGCAAACTATTGGAAAAAACTAAACATTTTCTCCATGTAGCCTGTGTAAAACGTTAAACATATAATCAGCTGGGTTGGGGCCTGCCAGGCAACTGTGCCTGAGGGCCCGGCGCCCAGGGACACCTCCTCTCTCTTCCAGCTGTGGCCTCCTGGCTGTCACCTCCTTCTCTCTCCATAATACCAGTCCATTCCTCCTTGTTGTCCATTTTAGACACTGCCTATTGACTTTCTGCTCGGAAAGACAGGCTCCCTCACACCTCCTGTTCTGCGAACATGGTCTTTATTTCTCGTCTGTCCGCTATTCCACCAGTGGGTGTGACGGGCACGTCCCGTGCTGTAGGTCTCCCTGTTCCCTTCCTCTTTTGCACGGAGGCCCAGAGATGCCCAGGGCAACAATCTGGGGTCCTGTCTCCACCTACCCCCCCGATTGCTCCCTGAATTTGGGTGATGCTTGGGTTTTATGGGGCTGACACCGCTCTGCATTGAAAAGCCATTAGGAAAAGCCTATGGCAGGGGCACTTTCAAGGCATTGGGCCGTAGGTGTGCCCCTGTTGGTCCTGAAAAGCTGAGGTCCTGTGGGGGACACCAGGAAAGGTGGCACCTGGCTCTGTGGGCAGTCCTGGCCTGGACCCAGAACCAGCTACTGCCTTGCTGTGTGTCCCAGCGCCACACTGGGACTCTCTGGGCCTCATTCTTGCATTCCCTCAGTCACATTGCAAACATTTATTGAGCAGCTGCCAGGTGCCAGTCCCCATTCCGGGGTTCAGATTCAGGGGGGGAACGTGATGGGCAAGGCCCCTCACCCACAGAGCTGTTGGTCTGGAGGGAGCTGGATAAGAGTCTCTGAGGGCCGTTCAGCGCTGTGCTGCCAACCTGAGAGACAGGATCGGGCTGGGAACACACGCTTTGGTGCCAGCTGCCAAGCGACGCAGAAGTTGCACAACCTGATCTCCGATGGGAACAGGCAGCCCCTATTCTCCCAGAGTCAGGAGCCACACGATTTGTCTCTCCTTCTTCTTTCTGCGCTCCAGGCCGGCTGCACTGGGAGGCCGGAAAACTCCTATGCATCCCTCAAAGCCCACTCCCAGACCTGTCCAGGTGCCACCTCCCACCACCTGCACTGACCTCTACCAGAGATGATGTTACTTTTCTTCCTTGCTTAGCTCTCCTTTGCAGCCTGCTAGCTCCCCCGAGGAGGATAATAGTGTTCTCTCTGGGGGTGGCTGTGAGCATTACATGAAACAATGCCTGGTTTAGTGCAGGAATAAATGGTAGCCAGCAGTGATCGCAGCTCTCAGCTCTGCTCTACTGCCTTTCCCACACCTGCCTCCCCAGGCTGGGCTGGGTGCTGGGCCTCCTGCCACCAGCTCCTCTGGGAGGTGGCCTGACATGGGTGTGGCTGCTGGAGGCTGGAAGCACCTGCGACCCATGATCGTGGCCAAAGGATGGGGGAGGACTTGGCCCAAACCCAAATCCCAGGGAGCAACGTAGCCTGGCCCACGGTCTTCTGCCTCCATGGGCGCAAAAGCAACAAGATGCTTAAAAAACGGGGTCTTTGCCGTGTCTTCTTGGCTTCTCCCCTATGTGGCCAGGACACCCCAACCGACACATGGGATGGGGGGCTGCTTCCTAAACCAATGCCTGTGACCCGATGCCCGATTCTTAAAAACTGAGGCTCACCCCTGAACGTCAGCACAGACGCCTCCGAGGGAAATGCTAATAAAATGACCACGTATCTCCCTGCCTTCTTTTTCTTTAGTTGTTCTTCTTCTAAAATTCACTTGTAGTGAACAGGTCAGGCTTGAGTGTGTTCTTGGTGAGAACATTCAAACAACACAAAGGTGATGGTGCTGCCTCACTCGCGGAAGGGTCCTGAGCAGAAGCTGGGAGGTCGGCTCTGCCCTGCGGGCACCTGGAGCCGTGCCAGCGGGGGGGCTGCAAGGAAGGCTCTGCGGCCCCTCCCCTGGCTCCCAGCTCCCGAACGCTGCGTGCTCCCCCTGGGGACCACGTGGAGGGTTGGAGCCCATCATTCTGGGCCTTCCTTGTGTCTATGTGCCCACCGACGTGTACCCTGAAACGCGCGGGTGGGTGGGATTCTGAAAACTGGGAACCGTGTTGTGTTGCTGTCTTGTGTGTCACTTGCCCTCTCTAGTTGGTAGACATGGCCGTAGCTATCCTTTACTGCTGTGCCAGGTCCCAGAGCAGGTGCGGTCCCCTCCCTGACAGAGAACACGCGGAGCACTGTGTCACTTCTCTGATGACTCCGGGCCAGCTGGGAGCGTCTGCCCTATGAGTAGCACCTATGCTGGGTGGGTCGGGTCGGCCTGCCTTTCCCAGCGTCCTCTGTTGCTGATGTTTTTCTATTTCTTGGGCCTGTTTTTTTTCCTGTAGCAAAATGCCACTTGTTGCTGTCAGTGCCCTGGACCCTAGCAGTCTCCTCCAGTCCCTGCTGCTCCGTCAAGGGTGACGGAGACAAGGATGACATAAGCTTACAAGAATTATGTGTAAAGTAAGAGGAAACGGCCGCCCCCATGTGTAAGGGTCGAGCTTTACTGCGTGGCTGTGGGATCCGTATTTTGGCCCTGAAGTCTTCTGAGTTCTAGCTGGCTGGCGGTGACACAGTCGGGCTGTCACCGGATGCTGAGCACGCTGTGATCACATGGTCTGGACTCCGCTTCCCTGCCCTCAGCCTCATTTCAAAGCCGCACAGGACACTCCGCCCCGCCTGCTCCTTCAGTCCTCTCTACCCGTCTCCCGCTACACTTCCTACACTTCGTGCTCTAGGAAAACGGACCTGCTGCAGTTTCCCACCCACAGACACTCCCATTCTCACCTCTGCTCTTGCCCGTATCAGCCGTCCCCTGGAATGCCCCCCACTGCCTCTACCCTTCACCTGGGCTTCCTGCTACTATCACCCCTTTACACTGATCTGTTTATGCTTCTGTTGTCCTCCTGCACGAGGTCCTTGGATAGCAGGGGTCATGCTACCCACTCCCATGTCCCTAGCCTCCCAATCCAGGCTTGCCTGTGGAGGACACACAGTAAATGGCCAGGTCCTACCTCTGTGTTATCTGGGGGGCTCCCCGCACACCCCGAGCTTCTGGCCAGCTGACGGGGCCCCGCAGGTCAGGCGATCTCAGACATCTGTTGCTTTTGCCTGTCTAGCATCCATCGCCCGTTCTTTAAGTCACAGCACCCTAGTTTTCCTTGGGACCCCCCAATTTCCCACACCATGGTGCATAACCCAGGCCTAGCCAATAAGAGCCCTCTCCCCACTGGCAACAGTGACAGGTCAGGGACTGGCCTGAGACGCATGTCAGGCCAGCAAGACTCTATCCTGAGACGGTTGCTGACTATTGGGGAGAGACGTTCTTCCCACTGGGGCTGCCGGGCAGAGAGGCTGCAGAGCAGCAGCTGCTGGGGGTCTTTATGCCTGCCAGGAAACGATGCCGCATGCAGAAAAGCAACGTCGGGGGCAGGGCCCCAGTGGGGCCTGCTGTGGCCCCTGGATCCACCTCTGCCTGAAGCTGCCCTGAACTTCTAAGTCCCCTCCTACCCTCACCCCAAGACTGAGCTGCTCCGTGACTTGCCCCTGACAGAATCCCGGCCCCAGCCAGGGTTTCCCCAGCAGCCCAGCAAATGCGGCTCTTCCGCGCGAGCTGACGAGAGCAGTACCTGCAGATCTGCACCTCGTAGCCCAGGTCCAGGGGGTCGTTGGGGGCCGTGCCGTTCTGGAAGTCGCTGACGTCGAAGGAGGAGAGGGTGTGGTTGACGAAGCCGTGCATGGTCCCGTCCTTGCTGTACATGTACAGGTACACCAGCCGGGGGATGAAGTCAGACGTGAAGGAGATCACGAACGCCTGGGCCGGGGACAGCGGGGTGAGCGCAGCCCAGCTGGCGGGGAGGGGACGCTCTGCCCACGAGGTGGAAACGTGGCCGAAACGTCCAGTGAGCAAATGGAGGGTTGGGGCACTCCTGTTAGCCCCTCCGGCAGCTCAAGGAGCTGGGAACAGATGGCCCCTGAGTGGGAAGGCGTGGGGATGGGTGCTGGCGTCTCTCACTGGCTGGGTGGCCTTCAGCAAACTGCCTGACTGCTCTGTGCCTCAGTTGTCTCACCTCTTAGATGGGGTGATAAGCTCCTGCCTCCGAGGGCTGTGTGTACATTACTGACCGGGCACACGGAAGGTGCTTAGAAGGGCCCGGAACATTCTAGATGTTCAATAAATGGTAGCCGCCATTGTTATTCCCACCCAAAGGTTCGTGTAACGTCTCAGTACGACTACGGAACACTTCTAAAGCGGGTACAGATGGTTCTGCCGACCTGGGGCCACACCCAGGTTGGAGGCAGAGACCTCCAGCCACCCTGGAAGGGGCCCCCAGCCCGCGGCAGTTCAGCCAGGGCTTCTACTGGCTGCGGTCCCGAGGTCACTTACGTTGATAATGACCGCAAGCTTCCCGACGCCTCTGAGAATGTTGTACCAGATTCCTGAGGGGAGAAAGCACAGTGTGAAAGGCCTTCCTGAAGCTGGTCAGTCACTCCCTCCAGCTGGTAGGGGCCACGCTGGTCCTTTTCTGGGGGTGCTGTCAGGCCCGCGGTAACGGGGAGCTGCTCCCGGGAGGACCTGGGGAAGCCAGGCTGACGGCAGAGCCCGTGGCTTGTGCCGCGCATCAGCTGTTCGTAAGCAAATCGCAGCTTCTGAAAGGGGTGCTTAAAAACGGCTGGTCCCTAAGTGGCTCTGAAAATCTCCCATGAACCTGTTCATACACAACTGGCTTAGACGATGCCTTTTTTCTCAAGACACAAAAAGATTCATTTGGGTGCAGCTCCTGCCCGAAGAACCCATGTAACAGTAACTGGAGACTGGACCCGTGAGGCTGGGTGTCCTGAAAGGGTCTCACAGCTACAGCACTAGGACGACTGTATTTAGGGACAGGCCAGAGGTAGTGCCGGGGTCAGAGGGCAAAGCCAGGGCCCCCAGCTGGGGAGGCCAGGTCATGTCCTGGGTAAAATGACTTGACAGCAGTGAGGTGCAAACCATTTCCCGTCTGCACACCCCTTTGCTTGTCGCCCACGGCACAGCGTTGCACCCAATCCCAGGTGATCACCGCATTGCACCCGGAAAAACACGCGTTCCTCCACTGGCCTCCCCAGTGGACGTGAAACCAGGCCAGGCCCAGGAAGGAAACATCTTATCTGAGGACCCAGGGCAGGCCTTGCTTGTTAGGGCCTCGATGCTGCGACTCCCGGAAAGGGGCCCAGCCTGACCCCCACCCCACCCTAACCGAGTCCTATCAGGCCAGGACCCTGTCCCAAGGGCTCTCTCCCCGCCCTGAACCAGACCTGAGATGGGGGATAACCAGCACTTCTCAGAAAGGGCAGGAGGGGACCATGGCCCGTTACTGGGTTACTGTCATCACAGAGGAATGTGGTGGGTTGGGGCTGGGGTTTCTTTACCCAGGCCAGGAAAGCAATGAGCGCACACGGCACCTCCTAGGCCCCGTTTTGGGGTACATGCTGCTGGATTGCAAAGCCAAAAGTTCAGGCCCATGTGGCCCAGAGACTGGAAACCACAGGCCTGGAGGCAGCCCCTGAGGCCAGCGTGCGAGGCACCGAGATCTCTCTCTCCCCTGCCCCAGCCAGTGACAATTCTGTGACAGCAAGCATTTGGTGCCACTGTAGACCCACTTCTGCTGGCCCTTCCTATGTCCTGTCAGCAGTGCTCGCACCCGTGTGAGCTATGACCTAATCCGAGATGGAAAATTCACCAGGGCTGTCTTTGGTCCTCCCCACAGGAGCAGGAAACCGGTGACAATCACATGGCTCAGGGGCCGTGAGAGCATTGCTTGTGCACACTGTTCACTCATTCATGCAGCCCACCTGGCCCTGTGGGGCCTGAGTTTGAGACCTCCGAGTTGGGGTGCTGGGGCACAGGTGAGCCCAGGCAAGCTGACATCTCCGGGCAGGGGGCTCCCACTGGAAGCAGCACGTGAGCTCAGCACGAGGAGACGGGTCTGTGGCCGGCCCATGACTGGCCCGATGAGCCAAGAAAGGTGATAGCGGGCAATGAGGTGGGTCAGGCGGAGCTTTGCAGAGCCAGGAGCTGAGCCTGTCTTACAGGTGCTGAGACGTCTTTCTGTCCAGACCAGTGGTCCTCTGTGCGATGCCCACACCAGAATCACGGGGTCGGGTTTATAAAATGCAAAGCCAGGACTCCAGCCCCGCCCCGGCCTGCGGGACCACCCTCTCTCGCAGTCTTGATCGTCTTCTCCCAGTTATTCGGATGCACACTCCAGGGTGAGAACCACTGCTCTGATGGTCTCCAGGAACAGGGGGACGATGCTCTCTGGAAAAATCCATGGGCTTCCAGTAGAAAATCTCTCAGGAAGGGAGGGGGAAGTGGCCGTCTTCTCCAAGGCGCCTCGGTCTCTCCAGGGACGCTGAGCCCTTTTCCCAAGAACACGACAGGGGACAGGGAGGTGTTTCGTCACCCCTGACCACACACAGTGCCCAGGAGCTGAGTGCAGGCAGAAGTTTGTCACTGAAGCTCTGCTGGAGGAGGGTAAGGGCAGGCAGTTGTTAATCTGGTGTCAAAGGTCAGGGCTGGGAAGCTGACACCAGTCCCATGCTCAGGGCTGGTGCCCCAGCGACGGGCACGCCCCCTCCCCTCAGTAGGCAGGGCGATCGGAGCTTCCTCCAGCCACCCTGCCCTGTGGGCACAGGACATGGGGGCCACTGGGGCCCTCTGTCCCCACGGCCCCACACGGATCGCAGGAGGAATACAAAAGCCTCTTCAAGGAAAGGTTACAGTGAAGGAGCCATGAACACGCCGTGAAAGCAGGGCAGATTACGCCTTCTCCCAACCAGGCAGGAGCAGGAAGTGAGCTCTGACCCAGGAGAAGTGGGATAGAACACGGAGCCGTGAGCAACAATCCTGAAGACACGCGTCCAAGCCTTGCTCGTGGCGGGCGCCACGGCCACAGTGGACCTCGGGGGCCGGAAGGCTGCCCCAGGCGCTCTCTCACCCTGGTGGGTCTGCAAGTTGTAGGATGTGGCCGTGGGGGACAGCCAGGGCTCTGCCAAGCGAAGGTGCCAAAGCAAACACACGCCGCCGTGGATTCGCCTGGGGCCTCCGGGCACCGAGAATCGGGCCTTTGTAAGGAAGAGTGACAGGGAGGCCACGCTCTTTTCTTTACTGCCCTGGGCACAGAGCCCCAGAATTCCCAAGGACTGTCCAGGGCGTGCCTGGCAGGCTGGCCCGTCCGCCCCTTCCGAGGTCTTGCTGTGCCAGGGAAACTTTTCAGGGCAAACCTTCTCCTTAGGGGGGTGCATGGGGGTGGGGGACCACTCTGGGAGGGGCCGAGGGCTTGGTGCTCTCCGGTTCCAGCTCGGCTCTGTCAGTCACTTGACCTCAGTCTTCCCATCCAGAAAGTGGGACTGAGACTCCTCAGAGGACCAGGCGGCTGAAAACCTCAGGAGACACTCAATGCCAGGCTCCGCTGTCTGGGTTCCGTCCTCTGAGCAAGTGTGGTATCCTTACTTACGGGAAGCCTGGTGCAGTGTCACCTTGGTCTCCACAGGAGACCTACAAATACAGCCTGTGGCCCACAGCCAGCGCACAGCCTGTGTTTGGATGGCCCACGAGTGAAGAATGGCTTCTTACATTTTGAAGTGTGAGGTAAAGAAAACACAAGAGACGTGGCCTTTAGGTGAGAGTGGCTGTCCTGCCTCAAGGATGTGGCCTCTGGGCCCACAGGGACTGAAACGGTGACTCTCTGGCCCTTCCCGGAAACTGTGTGCTGAGCTCTGACCCATGTGAGGGTGAAGGACCAAGGATGAGACAGAATCCGGGGCCAGGAGGGACTTCAGAGGGCCAGCTTGTTCAGGGACCTTCACGGCTGTTTCAATCACACCCAAATCTTACAGGAAGTCCAGCGGGGGAGCGGTGACTCACAGGCTTCACTGATGGCTCAAGTGCCACATCACAGGGCGATGATAGTTATACTTGTCCCTCCCTTTGGAATGCCACGGTTTCCCACCCTCTCACAGCCGGTCCCACTGCAGGTCTCACCACAGACCCCACTGCACAAGTGGGTGGGCGAACCGGATGACATCACCGACGCATGAGCACGTCTGAGCTGTGGACATGTCCATTTCATGCAGGTCAACCTAGGAGGCCGCATGTGCAGAAGGGGAGTTCATGCCATTTTGGAGAAGGATGGGAGAGCGGCGGGCACCCGGCAGAGGTTGAGGCACCCATGGAGCCTGTGGCCCAGGCAGGGCCCCTCCTGGGATGGGATGGCCCCAGGGGCATTTCCAACGAGGACCACCCGGTGCCAAGGGCTGGAGAAGCTCCTGGAAGGAGCCCCTGCCGGTTAGCAAGACCACGTCCGGGATACGGAAGGCCCACCTAGAGGTGTCCTAACACGCTGCTCTCCAACCCTAATTTTGGTAAAACGACAACTAACACTTCTAACACGCAATTCAATCTGCTTATTCCAAAAATTAGCCCAAAAGTAGTGTTCTCACCATATGTTAAATGGCAGATAAAATGACTATATTTTTTTGTAATTTTCTATCTCATTTAAGATTAAAATCCCAATAAAGACTTCTTTATTTTCACCCTGAACACTGGGTCCTGGTTTGAGTTGATTCACTTTCAGAGGAGATGGGTGTGGTCCTTGTAGGTGCGGGCCGGCTCTGGCCGGGGCGTGCGTGGGGCTCTGAGCCCTGTCCACTCCATCTCCCACCACCTCTTACCACTCCTGGATGGATGGGCACCCACTCTGCTTGAATGCCTCTGGTGACAGGGAGCTCACTACTCCACATGGACGTCTGCTCCAGTTTTGACATCTCTGTTAGAAAGTTATTCCTTATGCCGACATTACATGTGCCATCCCCCAAGGCCCAGCCCCTCCTCCACATGGATGAGGAGCCCCTAGGGACTTGAGGTTAAAAAGTCTGGCCCTGACCCCTACGGGCAATGCTCTTTCTTCATCAGTGGAAAGTGGCGCCTTCCTTCCTTCCTTCCTTCCTTCCTTCCTTCCTTCCTTCCTTCCTTCCCTCCCTCCCTCCCTCCCTCCCTCTCTCCCTTTTCTGTGAAATGATTAAATAGTACACTGTGTGGGAAGGCACTTGCTAAGCAGCTAAAATGAGCTTCCCCATTGGTCTAGCTCTGTGCCCGGGTGTGGGGGGGCACAAACAGCCCTTGTGGGGAGGGGTGTTGAGGACCACCTGAGAGAAGGCACCTTGTGGACTGCCGGGGCAGTGGGCTGGTGACAGTCAGATACCTGGGCTGACTCTTCCTATGGCCAATACGTCTCAGGAGTTAAGAGGTCAGGGTGGCTGGGAAGGGCCTCGGGGGCTCGCCTCAGCCCTGCCGGAGTCTCTGCGTCTCCATCCAGGTGAGGTGCAGCCAGGAGCCTGTGGGGACCCAGACCTGGCCCCGCTTTGCAGGCTCCGGCTCTAGCTTCTTAGAGAGCAGGAGCCGGTCCCCCAGCCCATGCTCAGAACCTACTCCCGCGGATCACTCACCGATGTCTTTGGCTCTGACGGCCACCGGCCTTCGCAGTTCGGTGACGAATTTTTTGGCGTCCAGGCGGATCTCAATGATATTATTCAGCAGCGCAAACAGCGGGGCCAGGGGGAAGGACGCGACAAACAAGGTGACAAAGCCAAACTGGATGACTGCAAAGAGAGCGGGCGTCAGCGCACGTCGTGCCCCGCCTCGCACATGGTGGGTCCCCACCACCCCACGAGCCCTGTGAGCTGAATGGCTCCGGGTCTGGCTGGGGCCCTGCCGCCCATGTGCTCCCTGCATGTGTGGGGTGACCCGGGCCAGGAAGGGGCAGGGGGAGGGCTCCAAACTTTTCTCTGAACCTCAGTGCTGGCCCTTGAACAACGGGCGCGTACTCACTTATATGTCTCGTCTTTAAAAATCCCCGACAGTGGGGAAAAGGCCCCTGTGAGCACGAAGGCCCAGCCTCGTCATCCACGTCCCAGCTGGGAAGGGCCCCAATGCTCCCATCAGCTAGATGGCCCCGGACCTGGGGGGCCTGCCACCACCACTGCGTCCCCTTCCTTTGGGCCTCGGGGGTCACTGAGCACAACCTCAGCCCCGCCGCGCGGCCCTCCCTCTCGCTCCTCATCCTCATCCTCAGCCGGCCAGCCCTGGGGCTTCTCTGCCTGGACCACCGCAGCCAGCATGGCCGGCCAGCCAGTCGGCTCCCGGGAAGGTCAGAAAAATGCTGCTGAGCAGAACCACAGGCGGCAGCTGGTGCAGGAACTGCACAGCAGGACCTGGCCAAGGCGCCCGTGCCAGGTGGTAAACAAGGAAGAGACAGAATGTCACCCCGTGCCCGGCCAGCTCAGTGTGGCCATTGTTAGCATGGTGGGCAGGGGGCTCCCCATGGCCTCTGGGGCCTGGAGTGCTTCTGTGGACGCTGGTCTCGTTGGAAGGCTCTGGGGGTGCTGGGGGCCCTCGGATAAGCTTGGCGTGCAGGCTCTGCATGTGGGCTGGGGGCTGCTGCAGCCAAGGCTGTGGGGTCCCCTCCCCCCTTACGATGAGGGCCCAGGAGGGAGGCTGGAACCTCCATGGGGCGGGGGTGGGACATTCCTGGCTGGGCCTGTTCTTTCCGCACCTGAGGCCGGTGGGTGCGGCGGGGTGAAAGCCAGTGGGCTCAGAGTGCACCCTGGGTGGTGGGGTGCGGTGTGGGGCACAGGTGGGCCGCTCCTGGGTGGGCAGGAGGGGCCTGTCCTGGGATCTATTCCATCTGACCCGAAAGGAACACAGGACGTGACCTCTGGCCATCACAGAAATGGGAGTCTGGGCAATGACCTCTGGTCTCTTAGCCCATCGCGGGGCGCCGCTCTTCATGTCCACCCTCCCACGGCTGGCGGGCAGGAGAGGCCCTCCTCCCAGAGCCCACCTGCCTCTGGTTCAGCTTGGATTTTACTCCAGGAGAAAACGGAGAATGTCATCCAAACACAACACCGTTTCCTTTTTTGAGTCTCAGATTCTTTCCCGTCTGAGTCAAAGGCAGGTGCTCCTTGCACAATCACCCCGGAAGCTGGGAGTGACTTCTGTGGACTGGCTGGGCCAACGGGAGGGCAGGGAAGGCTCGCGGTGCCATTAAACAGACACCTCCCAACCCAACGTCGCCCTGCCCCTCACCCCTGCATCAGGGCAGAGCAGCGCGTGGCTGCGTTTGCCCAGGGAACTGTTAAAAAATGCAGAGTCCCAGGTCTCACCCTGCATAAATCAGGGATGAGCCAGGGAACCGGCATTTTAAATACGCTCTCCATGGTGGCCAGGGCGCGCTACACTCTGGGACCCCCCTGCATGAGTCCTCCTGGTCTCCCTCGCTCATCCGGTCATTCAACAAGCACTCTGAGCCCCACTGTGTGCCTGGGCCTGTTCTAGGTGCAGGGGAGACGGCCGTGAAGGGAGAGATAAAAATGTCCTGCTTTCATGGACTTTGGCTTCTACTGGGACAGACAGCAGGAAAAGGACTGAGGCGGGCCAGATGAGGGGGTGATGGACGGGAGGGCGACGGGCAGCAGGAAGCGGGAGAGCAGAGCTTCGCACTGTGCCTGGGAGGAGCGGCCCCTTTCCAACACTGTGGTCAGGAAGACTCCTGTGCTAGGGACATTGAGCAGGACCCTGGAGAAGGGAGCGGGGACGCACGCAGGTGTTAGGGGGTGAGCGTTCCGGGCAGAGCACAGCTAGTGCGAGCGCCAGCAGCAAGCCTGTGTCCGGGTGACAGAGGGGAGGCCAGTGTGGCCAGAGCAGAGGGAGGCGGGTGGGGAGGGGAAGATGGGGTCAGGGCGCTCCAGGTGGCTGTCATGCTGGCCACACCTGGTCTTGTCCCATCTCTCCCCGACCTGAGCGTTACGTGCCACCTCTGGGCATCCTCCCATCCAGTGACATGACTGCAGGTGACAAGGCTCCGTCCCTAGGTGTGCGGTGTGGGCCTGCTGTGTGTCAGGGGCCCAGCGAGCCGAGGGCGGCCGGTGGTCATGTGTGTCCCGCCCCCCACGGCCCTGCGCTCACTCATCTCCATGTACTCGGGTGTGAGGCCCGCAAACGGCTCCAGCGTGAAGTCGGCCTCGTACCGCTGCTTCCTCTTCACATGCTCGTCGTGGTCGGAGAGGCTCTGGCGCTTCAGTTTCAGGTAGCGGATGAACTTCTTCATTTTCCTGAAAGACACACAGCAGCGTCACCTGTCAGGCTGCTGGGAGGGTGGGTTCCGGGGGCCCAGGGCCTGCACCGCAACTTGCGTTTCTACTCCTTGGAGCCCTCCGCTTCACGCCGAGCCCGTGTTTGCCGGGACTTCTGTCCATAATTCCCTTTGTCCTTTCCCCTGAGACAGGGGTCAGGTGTCCTAGCTTTGTTTGTGATATAAAGAAACGAGTGCACAGAGGGCGATGGGCCACCACAAAACATGGGGAGACCCTGAAGGTGTCGGGGGTCTGCCTGTGCCCAAGTGGACACGGTGGGGAGCGGGGCGAGGAAGTGGATCACGGAAAGCTGCAGAAATGTCCCCGACCGCACCTCTGCAGCCTTGGGGATGGAACGGGACACGATTCCCGAAGGGCCCCAGGTAAGGAGGCACAGCCTCCACCTGCCAACTGCGTGAGCGGGCGCACGAGCATGCGCCTTTTGGTTCCTCGCATCCTCAGCCTGTCTGGGGGCAGAGTCACTGGCCTCCTCGCGCTCCCCGTCCACCGTGGGGTAGCTCCTGACCCGTCCTCGACACCTCCCTGTGTCTGACGCCCTGGTCGTGGCCCAGGCTCCACATCACCTGTCACTCCAGTAACCCCCGAGGGCCGGGCCCCCCTGCGCATGCGCCCGGAGGTACTCACGGGATGCCAATCTCGAACAGGTTGTTCTGGATGAGCTGCTTGCCCAGCATGATGATACTGAGCTGGATGCACAGCTCCATCAGGCAGCCCCCGGGAGCACACTGCGGGCAGAGAGCAGGCACGTGAGCCCCGCCCCGCCGGGCTGACGGACAGCTCCATCAGGCAGCCCCCGGGAGCACACTGCGGGCAGAGAGCGGGCACGTGAGCCCCGCCCCGCCGGGCTGATGGACAGCTCCATCAGGAAGCCTGGGGGGAGGGGTGCACTGGGGTACAGAGCGGGGATGGGCACAGGCAGAAAGGACCACAGCCCCAAGGGAGGGAAGCCCAGTCCTCGTGGGGTAGGTTGGACTGCATTCTTCACAAAGAGGTCCGCATCCCAACCCCAGAACCTCAGACTGTTGTCTCATTTGGAAATAGGGTCTCTGCAGATGTGACCAAGTTAAGATGAGGTCACACTGGAGGAGAGTGGGCTGTGACCCAGTGACGGGTGTCCTTAGAAGAAGAGAAACATAGACACACAGAGGAGGGGCCGTGTGAAGACAGAGGCAGAGATTGGAGTGATGTGTCCACGTGCAGGGGAGTGCCCAGGATTGCCAGCGGCCACCAGAAGCTGGGGGAAAGGCCTGGAGGAGCCCTTCCTGGAAACTTCTAAGGAAGCACAGCCCTGCTGACACCTTGGTTGGGACGCCTGGCCTCCAGACCGTGAGAGAATGAACTTCTGTTGTTCTGAGTCACCCGGCTGTGGTATTTTCTTTCAGCCGCCCCAGGAAGCTAACGCACCTGGCCTGCAGGCTGCCGGGCTGGAGCCAGGCTGGAGAGGGGGGCACACTGCCAGGGAGGGGGCAGCGGTGGGTTGGATCTCGTGTTCCTGCTCCCCAGGGTCAGTGTCCGGTGCTTGTCACCGGCTGCCTGTTCACAGGCCCTGCAAGCCCACAGCCGTCTGGGCCCGTGTGGCGGGGAAGCCACAGGGCAGGCAGCCGGCCACCCCTCTGAGGCCTAATGCCCGTCCTCAGCGGGCTGTGCTGCCTTAGGCTGGGAGCCCGGCAGGTACATGATGGGTTAGAAGCTTAACTTGTCTGTGAAGAGAACTCAAGGGATGCTGGGTGACCGCCCTGGGCACAGCTGACTCCTCTATGAGTCCCTAGCAACACTTTATCCTGTTACCAAAACATGTATCTGGGAGAGCCGTCATTTCATTAAAAAAAAAAGATGATGTCCTTTGCTTTATTCTGTCTTACAAAGGCACGTCCCCAACGTCTCCACACATTAGAGTTTGACGGGGTGCCATCTATGTGAGGGGCGTGTCATAACGGGAGCGTCTTGTCTGGGCTCTTTGCAAACACGCGTTACTGTGAATGATGCCCACGTCCTGGGATGTTGAGAGGCCAGCACGCAGGTGGTCAGACCTGTAGGCTGTGCCCAAGGCAGCCAGGTCCCCTGCCCGACGCCCACCCTGGTCCTCTCTGCCCTGCTTTGCAGGGTCTTTATCAGGAAGATCCAGCCCCTTATTTTCCGGTAAGATGAATTATTCTGGGAGTTGGAAATGCCAGCTGGTTTCCCTGAGGCCGGAACCACTGACTAGCCCTGAAGCCCCGGCGTGGTCTGAGGGCCAGGACTCAGCTGGTGACTAAACAGGCCTGCGCTGGCCTAAGCGCTGGGCAGACGCCAAAGGTCCCCAGCACTGTGTGTGGAGAGAGAAGAGGGCATTTCAATAGTAAAGTAAAAAAAAAAAAAAAAAAGTAGCTGAGTTCCCTTTTTCCCTCATTAATTCATCTGAACCAAAGAGAAAAACATTCAAAGCCTTACAAGAAAAGAAAAACAAAATTGGTGTAACGTCTTCATTCCACGGACTCTGAAGAGACTTAAGGGTAATCCTGTTTGGACACACTAAGCTCAAAGCCCACCACAGTGCCGGAGGAGAGAAGGGGGTTCCCAGGAAAAGGAGGAAAGCTGTCGCCTGACACGGAATCGTCTGCTGTGGGACAAAGCAGGGAGAGTGGGGCCCGGGGCTGCAGCAAACACCTCATGCTGTTACCTCCTCCATGCGGAATGAGCGGAAAATGTACACATAGTCGCCCGGGCGTCCGACGAACCTGCAATGGTTTGGGGGGCGTTAGGGAGCAGAGACCGGCCCAGGGAGGCCCCGGGTGGGGCCGGAGCTGAGCTGTGATTCCCAGATTCGGTGTCTCTAGTGTGTTTATGGGCTTCCTCCCTGCCTGCTCCATCGGCTAAAGAACGACCGCAGGGTTTCCTGTTGGTAGAGTGTTCATGCGATTCCCAAATCCACATGGGGGCAACTTCACCAGGAAACCAAGGGGCTGAGGGGCAGATGGAGGCAGCCAGCCCAGGAGGGGACTAAGGCCAAGCTGTGTGAACACGGACCGTGCCACCCGCTGCCACCATCACCGCAGGGCCCAGGAACCCCCGGGACCGTGAACACTGGGGTGATGGTGGTCCCTGAGGCCATCTCGCAGCCTCCTGTGGGATGTGCGGGGCAGGGAGCCCTCTGAGGGCCTGCTGTATTGTCACAGATACTCTCAGGGGGCCTGGACCCCTTGGCTGGACCCTGGGTCCCTGGGGTGGGAGGGCAGGCATGGGACTTATAAATCATGTGATGCTGAGGAAAGCGTCTTCGGCGGGGTTCTGGGGTCAGACGTGTCAGCCCCAGCAGGAAGGGTCGCGGGAGTCTTGGTGGATGGGCCACAGGCCCCTCTAAGCCCATGACGGCTCCAGAGGGTCCAGGCATGGGGTTCACCTGACCACCAGCCTGGAACACCAAGCTGACCTTCTGTGGCACTCGCCCATTTGAGTCCTGTCAACCCGCTGTGCGTGCACCTGGAGCTCGCTGTCTGGGGTCCTTGCTATCTGGGGTCCTGCTGCCCACGATCCCTGCTTCCCGAGATCCCTGCAGCCCGGGGTCCCTGCTGGCTGGGGTCTCTGCTGCCTGGGGTTCCTACTGCCCTGTGTCCCCGCTGCCCAGAGCCCCCGCTGCCTCGCACCCAGCAGGTGCCACACTGACTGCTCTGCCCTGGGCCCAGGTGCCTCCCACCTGCAGGTGACAGGAGGGGAGCCTTCCACTGGACTGGGAGGAGCACGTGGGGGTAAGAAAGGCAGCGAGTGTCAGTAGCTGAAGAAGTCCCTACCGGCCTTTGAAGAAAGCCACGTAAAAGATGGGGGTGTAGGAATTGACGAACTTGAGCAGGAAAGCCTTGAAGATCAGTCTCTCCTCGAAGCTCTTCTCGGTCTTTGGGACCTCTGGAAGGAGCGAGACGCACGTTGCTGAGCCTCCAGGCTGACCACTCCGCTCGGCTCTCATGGGAAAGGGGCTCAGAGGAGGCAAGTGGCCAGGCGACGCAGGCTCGGCCCGGGGCCACGGCGGCCCTGGGATTCGGGCACTCACCAATCTTGGTGAGCCACCTGGCGATGCAGCCGTACACCTCATCCAGAAGGATGATGACCACCAGGTTGATAATGACCGCGGTGGCCGTGACCGTGACCCGGATGTTGGACCTCACAGAGGGGGAGGAGTTCATGGCTAAGGCGGCAGCCGTGGAGATTCTGTAGATGATGACGCCAAGGACGATGGCGAAGGTCACCGCGACCTGCAGAGGGAGGGGGGCACACCTTAGCTGGGCCACCCGGGGTCTCATCGGGCACCCCCCTAGCCCAGCTCGCCCCTCACCCCGTAGCTGTTCAGCTTTAAAACAGAGAGGGACATTTCTTGCCACCCACCATATGCCAGGGGCTTTATGGTATCAACGTCACAGACAGATGACAAAGGACTGGTTTCTGTTTTATAGAGAGGAGACTGAAGTTCAGAGAGGTCAGGGAACAGACCAGGTCGCCCAGCGCACGGGCTGGGATTTACGAGCCCTGGCTTGTGGGACAGCAGGCTGACCACTGGGTGGGAGCTTCTCCCCACAACTTGGTGACTTTGGGCAGAAGCAGTGACGTGCTGGGGTGGAGTGCTGTTTAATGGAGACGGGTGGGGTGTGGGGCAGCCCGAACCCGGCGGGCAGTGCTGCAGGCCTGGCTGGGACACTCCGATTGGGACCCTTCTCCCAGCCTCCCGGAGCCACCAACACCCTTCTGGCTCGTCCTGGAGAGCGAGTCCCTCATCCTGCCAAACCCACTGCTGGACTGGAACATTCCATAGCACTCGGGCTGGCGGTTGCCTGAGAGACGGGTGGGAGCTGGCTGTGTTGACAAGTTTGTTCCATGTGCAGCTGTCTGCCTGGCTTCCTTTTCCTTTTCCTCAAAGCCCCTAACTCAACCAGGAAGCCCCTGCCTCACCCTGTCCTGCCTGAGGGGTGAGGGCGCCGGTCAATCACAACCCTGAGGACACACTGAGGACGGAGGCAGCGGCTCCAGGCCGTCCACCGGCTGACCCATGTGTCCCATTAAAGGTGCGGAGGGCAGGTCCGGCTCCTGCTAGGACAGTCCCTACGGGCAGCTCCCAGGAGAGTCCTGGAGAGGCATGGGGGCTGTGCTGCGTCTTTGCAGCTTGAAAGGCTGCAGTTGGCTCATCCCAGAGGGAGACCGCGGCCATAAGAAGACTCCTAGGAGAGCTCTTATTCTGAACTTTGGGCCAGTGACTCCCCTTCTGCACACATCTGCCGGTGACTAAAGGGTGACCACACCCTGCCCAAGAAAAATGTCCAGGGCCACGCCACACCCCGATGAAGGGGCAGCCCCACTGTGAGGTGTGGGTGCCACTCCCAGCCAGCTCTGGGAATGAGGGCTTTCCTCGGAAAATCCCTGACCCCTGTCAAGAGGGCCCTCCAGGGAGAAGGCACCGCCCGGGCCTTGGAGACAGCCCTGGTGCCCACGTGGGGGGTGCAAATGGGGTGGCTGGGCCTGCAGGGTGACTCAGCAAGGTGCCCCCCCTTTCCCAGCCAAAGGGCTGGCACCTCCCCATGATATGCAAGCCCTACAAGCAGCGTCCCTTTCTGGGTGTGATCCCCCTCTGCAAGGACAGGGCCACCAGGGCTGGGGCGTTCACTCTGGGCTCTAGGACCCGGAGCATCGGGGCACACCGTAGGTGCTCAGCCACAATTTGTTCACTGCATGGAATTCTTGAGCGCGGGACAAAACTGCCTGATTCATCTGTGATGGGGTCACCCGTCCATCGACGGCCAGCACTTTCCCTCCCGACGACCCCGCCTTGGCTGGGAGCTGCGGGGTGTCCATTCCCCAGGCTCCCTGCCGCTAGGGGTGGCCACGTGAAACAGGCTGACCAGATGAGAAGCAGAGGTTGTGGGCAGGTCTTCTGGAAAGGACCTTCAAAGAGGTGCTGCCGGCACCGGCATCACCTCCTCCCCTTGGCCCTTCCCCTTCCTCCTGCCTGGAAGGCGGAGCTGATGTTGGACGAGCAGCCATATTGTGGCCGAGAAGTAACACAGAGGCAGGACGGGTGAGGGGCAGAGAAGCCCCCCGGCATCGTGGAGCTGCCGGCCAGCCCAACGCTGCCCACCTCCCCGCTTCTCATCACACAAGGAACTTAAAGCTCCACGGGAGACCACCCAAGGAAGGGACGTCTAACCCCAGGGCTTGTCCCAGCTCCCTGCTGTGGTGCAGGAGAAGGGCCCGGCCAGCCTCTCCACCTCCCGCCCGTCCCACACCCCCCTCCCCGCACTGGTCCTTCTGCAAGGACACTGCTGCTTCTCTGCCAGGAGGGGCTGGACCTTGGTGCCTGAGTCTCGTGTTTTCTGCACCAGCTCCCCTGCTGGGTGAGCCCCGGGGAGGCTCTAGGCAGGGACCACGTCATCTTCAGGTTATCCTCCAGCACCAAGCCCGGCGCCTGGCCAGAGGGACACGTCACTCATGTGCGTTTGTGGCGTGTTCTCCAGGGCCCTCAAAACGAGGCTGGGCCCACTGCACCCTAGCGTTGCCCAGATGGCACAAGAGTCCTCCCAACCACCCTGAGTGGCTCCACCGTCATGGGGTCCCCACCACAGGTTCCTTTACATGAGCTGAGGTCCCTGTTACTGTGAGAGTGTGAGGGGAAACTGAGTCCTCACTCTGCTTCTAATTCCTCCGCTAAGGGGGCCCTGGCCCCCCTCCAACCTGGAGTACCAAGACAGGTCCTTGGCTCTGTTCTCCAAGTTCATACAGAACAGTGGGCTCTCGGGGCAGACGGCCCGGCTGGCATCTGGCCCTACCGCCTGCTGGCTGGTGGCCGGGGAGGGGGGCCAGACCTTCGGGCCTCAGTTTCCTCATCAGCAGGAGGGGACGGTCTTGGGACAGGTAGGTTGTGCGACTGAGATGCCCAGGTTGGCTGGGCTCACGCTGAGCCCTCGGTCCATAGTAGCCCACCCGGGGCCTCTGGGGACCAGGCCACAGGGAGGGGGGTGGGCACTGTACAAGACTCTAACTTAAAGCTCCAGGGCTGGACACGGGGATGGTCATTTGTACAGTGACCACAGGTGACCCTGACCTCTTGGGGAAGGACAAAGGCACAGCTAGTCAGGGCCAAGGCCTTCCGGGCAGGAGGCTCACTTGGGATTAACATCCCCTAAATGCTGAGGCAGTGGCTGACTCATCCCAATAAGCAATGCTGACCAGCCCGGGGTCACAGACCCCTGGGCACTCCAGTGGCGCCATCTGACTTTTGTCTTGTCTATACAAATGCAGTGGTTTTCTTTAAAAAACTCCTCAGTTTTGTCTTAAACAGTATCTGTGAAATTCTGGGTTTGAATGACTAGTTCCTTCAATTTGTCACTCTCAGAATGAAAGCTATGTTATCAGGGCTCCCCTGAACGCATCTCACAGACCCGGGCTCATGAAGCCCCCCTGGGGATCGCTGAGGAACCCTGGCCCCTTCCCATTTTAGGGGCAGTGGTGGAATCTCCCCCCCTCAACATGAATGCACCCGCCATGGGGACAGCTGACGCCGGTCCAGGAGGGCACCGCATCGCTCCCTGTGGGTTCCTGGCTGTCCTCCCACCTCAGCCTTCCGGAACTTACCATGAACACAATGGAGACCAAATTGGTCAAGTAGGCTGGGAACCGGTCTCTCCAGGTCAGCTTCACCTTGTCCGTCTACAACATGAAACAATGCTGGGTTAGCTGTGGGAACCATCACGGTGGGGAGAAGAGTGTGTGTGCCGTGTGTGTGCATGGTGTATGCATGTGAACCTGGACAACAGAAATACTCGGAAACACCTTAAAAAAACCTGCAGGTGATGAGCGAATGTCAACATCTAGCATTCAAAGAATCATCTAGGGTCTCGTTACCTAGGAAATGATGTCACATAAGGATAGAGATAACAGTCATTTAAACATGTGATTCCTCCATGTATGGGGCATAAGAGTGCCAAACGCTTTTCTAAATGAGACTATTAAACCCACGTCGGGAAGAAGCCTGTATATAGAATCCATTGCTTTGGCTGAAAGTCTTACTTCCAAGACTAGACATTCTAAGGTGGTTTTGTCCTTCGCCACCCAGACCATAATAGTTATTTTTCCTTTGCAGGGCAAGTTTAAACAAGCAGCTAGCACGACAAGTTCAAACGCTGTTTACCGCATAGCAACGGTGGACCTTGGTGACACACGGCCTGAAGGCTGTCTTGGTCCCAAGGAACCTTAAGTAGAAGCTTGTCACTAACCTAGGATGTTTCAAGCATCAGGGTGAATTTTTAAATGGGACAAGGCATGGATTGGGTCAACGAATGCTGCTGACAACATGACACTGGAGGCCACTTGTTCCGGGTGCGGGTGGCATGCATGTTAACAAGAATACTAAGAACTGCTGGCAGGCAGTGGTGACAAGCACATTTCACAAGCTCCAAATAAAGCAGAGACCTCCCCCCACCCCCAACCCACGAACCCACCATAGCCATGCAGTGACATCTCAACACACGTCACAGCTCGTTGGGTGTGGCAAGAAGGCAAAGAAACATGGAGGTGATGTTAAAAAAAAAAAAACCAAACAAAAAACACAACAGTTTGTTGAGCAAAAAAAAAAAATAATGGACTTCGGTCATCTGCAAACAGTCAAGATTCGCATTGCCCCCGAAATAGAAAAGTACCAATTTCACCCCCGCCATGGCTGTCTTAACCCTCTGCTTCCATTTGTTTGTTGACTCCTCTGGAATATTCCGGTGCTTCTGAGGGCGGGGGAGGGAACAAGAGAGCACCGTGGGGTGAGGCGTGAGGAGGTGCCGGCAGACCGTGGGGCCCAGGCCACCGCTGACCCCTTGCGTGCTTGCTGCCAAGGCCGATCCAGGCTCTGGGCGTTTGACACCAGCGAGCGATGGCAGAGACCCATGTGCTAACAGAAAGGCTGCCACACAGGTAATGGAAGCGGCAGACAAGGTTCTGAGGCCGAGACTGCGGCGCAGGAGCCCGGCTCACCAGCCAGCCGCCACTGTCATTTAGATGGTCCGTTTACGCAGACCTGGAGTCCAGGCCAACATAAAGGAAGCCACACCCAGGATCGTAAGTTAACATACCAATTAAGGGGTGGATTTTTTTTTTAAATGAATTTGGTGCCATAGCTGGGGGAAAAATGAAAACTATAAAGTAGCCGCTGGGAGCCAATGAAATGGAGGAGAAAATAAAGGGTTGGCCCGCCATACAGGGCCTGAGTCTGCATCACAACTTGCAAAACCGACCCCCGTACCTTGTTGCTCTCATGTGATAAAGACCTTGGGTCAAAGCCAGGAGACGGAGTGCCTGCAAGTCTGAGAGGCACTGCTGGCACAGCTACCCAGACTCACTGCTGGGGCATGGTGAGCTCCCTTGACTTAAATGGACGTGACGTGTGCAACAAAGCCCTTTTAGTCCCTTAGGAAGGAATGAAGGACCCATCCACGCTCAGGCTAAGAGGTGCCACCGTACAGCCACGCGTCGACTGTCCTGGGGCCGTCGTCATGACACAGGCTTGGGGCGGAGGCTGTGGCACTGAGCATGGGTCTTAGTGGCCCACAGGGGAGGCCTACGGGGCTTCAGAGCCATTGGCATCCAGGCCTGTCCCTTTAGGAGGGGAAACAAGGCACAGAGCAGGTAACGGAGCCGTTCGAGGCCACGGGTGACTGCTCAGAACGCACCTTGCACTGGGACGGGCGGACCGTCTGGACCGTCCGGTTTGTTAAATTGAGAAAAGACACCCTCCTGAGGGGGGGTGGGGAACCGCTCATGCTTTGGTGGTTATTTTCTTTGCATCCTTGAGTCCTGCTCAGACTCTAAGAAGGTGTTTGGGGAAGTGCAACCCCTTGCTGGCTGCAGCAGGACGAAGCTGCATTTTTGCTGTGTTATGGGAACTGGGACCCGAGAGGGGGCTTTTGGTGCGCCCACTTCACCCCCTAGATGCGATGTTGGCAATTGCGACCCCCGCCACTTTGAGCCAGCAAACTTCATCCACATGACACATGGCAAGGAACGATAAACCCGGGCGTTTGTCCTGATCGGCCCAGAGGCTGAGTGTGCCAAGGGGACAGCAAACCCTGGAGCCCAGACAAGCAGCCTCCCACTGTCCCCCCTCCCTTCAAGAACTGATGCAAACGTCCCCAGCCGCAGTTAGGCGCCGACAAGGGCCCGGGGGCTCTGTGCTTGTCCCAGGTCATGTGTAAAAAGCTATTAAAAAACAGCCAAGCACCTCTGGAGGTTTGTGAGAACTCAGGCTGCCTATGTAAGACCACCAATTCGAATGAGAGGTTTGAGGAGAAAGAAAGGCATTGATTATAAAAAGATGATGGCCTCGAGACCATCACAAAAATAACACTTCTCTCTCTCCCTCTTATTGTCTGTGGGTGAAACAAGGAATTGGCTGTTTGCTCAGGGACCCCGGTTGGGCAAACCCTTCCCTTTCATCCTTCAGCACAGAACACAGAGGCGCAGACACAATGGATGTCAAGAGTACTGTGAAAGAGCTGCAAAGCTACCTGGTTCTTGATGTTGAAATGTTGGCTGAAGTGTGAGATCACCCTCAGGATACGTCAAGAAGGTAGATCTATAGCAGGCGGGACAAACTACAGCCTATGGCCAAATCTGGCCCCTTGCTTATTTTTATAAATTAAGTTTTATTGTAACACCAGCCAGGCCTTTTTTTTTTTTTTTTAACCTGTTGTCTATGGCTGCTTTCAAGCTACCATGGCAGAATCGAGTAGTTGTGACAGGCCTGCAGAGTCTAAATATTTATTATCTGGCCCTTGTCTGGGGGCTGGCCCCTGGTCTACACTGCTGGACATACAGGGTTTGCTGACCCACGGTCTACACTGCTGATGAATACACAATGTCTTACTGCTGGGAAAGCCACCAGCAGTGGCCACCATACCTCTTTGTTCTTGGATTCTTTCTTAAGTGACTTCTCCAAGACTCTGGCTTCATATTCAGCTCTGGGATGGTCCTGTGAAGGGAACCGAGCGGGCACGGAGACCTGTTAGCTGTGAGTTTGAGACCCTCACCATGGCAAGTTCAGTCCATTCATTCGTCCTGGGCACCCTTTGAGGCCAGTTCCTAGCTGGCTGTTTATACCATTTCCAATTTAGGGCTCCCTATACACGGTCCGTCTAGGATTCTCCCCCTTGTTGGGAACCCCCACCCACTGGGCGGGTCACAGAACCTGGCTGTGCCCTGCGGCCGGCTTTCTCACTGTGAACACCCAGCCATGAACTGGCCCCAAAAACGTTCTATCAGGAGCTGTGGGGGGCAGAAGAGATGGCAGTAAGTGTCAGCAAGCGCGGGCACACCAGAGGCGCCAGGCCTCGGGGGAGCCCAGAGCAGGTCAGCGAAGGGCACTGGAACAGAAGAAGGGGGTTAAAGAGAGGCTTGGGGGCGGGGAAGGAAGCGGAGACCCCCACCCGCGGTGGCAGAGCTGCAGGGAGCTGCAAGGTGGAAACAGGCGGATCGGGTGCACAAGAAGGTCCCTCTCCCAGGGAGAGGCGACGGCAAGAGAGAGGAGTGACAAAAAATTCCAAACCTTGACAGCCTCCTTCAGGGAACCAGAAACGTGAAAACAAAACAAAAAGATTTCATTACTTGTGTTGTTTTTGTTTTTAAAGAAACAGGACACATCCCCTCAAGGTCATTTTCTCAAGAACCAGGATGAAGGTAAAAGGTCGAGCGGACAGAAAAACTCAGGGAATCCGAGATCCGCTGGCGGCCACGGCTGCTTTAGGACGACTGGGGGTGCGGGTGCTTTTGCAGTTCTCGTGTCTTTGGAAATTCCCAAGGGAGTGCTGGACTGAACTGTCCCAGACTCAGCTAAGGGGCACACGGGTGCAGTGGCCCCCAGATACAGGCTCCTCCTGCTCCCAGTGCCAGCACCTGGGCTTCGCCTCACATGATGAACTCCCCAAAAGAGGCCCTGGCCAGCCATGGCGGGGAGGCTCACCTTAGGGAACTCATTCCGGCCCCCTGGGCCCATGCAAGATGGCTCCGATCACCACCCCAAAATCGAGCGCTGGGCCTCAGAGTGAAGAGATCATGAGATGGATCCCCAAGGGGTTCAACAAATGAAACTGGCCCTCCGCCCCCCAACTTCCCCCACTCCAGGGACACCATGAAAAGGACATTCTAAGACTCCTTCTAGAATAAGACAGCGTCTGCTCTTTGTTGTATTACAATCTTCCTAACTGAAACAGTAACAAGGAAGGAACATGCCCAGGTAGCCGTCCTTCCCCTAAAGAGCCACACGTTGGTGGACAGGCTGCATCTGTCCCGGTGCCACCATGTACGAAACGGGACAATGAGACCCGCTGTGGAGGGTTGAGCCCAGAGGCGGCTGGCCGGGTGACAGGGCACAGGGCACATCCTGGTGCTGGGCCCTCCCTGCTCTAAGCGTTTTCTATCGACTAACCCACTGAGACGCCCTCAAGCCCTATCGAGTGAGGGCTATTCTGCAATCTCCATAAGCAATGAGGACACGGAGGCACCGAGATGTTAAGCAACTGGTCCCGGTCACACCGTACGGGCAGTGCCGAGTCAGGGTGGAAGCCAGGCGGCCTGGCTGCGGAGGGCGAGTCATCCCCACGAGGCTGCCGTGCCTCTCCCAGCAGCCCCTGGTCTCTTGTCCACCGACAGTCCTGTCCGCAGAGCCCGCACACCGGCTTCTCTAACTGAACTGCACATTTGGCTCAAGAGTGACCGACAGACTGAGCCTCAGGAGGGAGCATGTTGAGTGGGGAAGGTTACAATCCAGACACTAGGAACGTTCAGAAAGGATGGATGGCGTTTCCACATTGCGGTGCCAATGCTGGGGAGCTTTCCCTTTTAAAAAAACGAGCGCGGCGTTTTGTGAAATTCAGTCGCGGTCAGCGTGGCCACACCTTACAGCTCTGCTCTGCTGGCGGCCGGTTGTGGGCCCCGGTTTTCCTTTTCATCCCTGCTCCTCCCATGGGGAATTCCGGCTGGAGCTGCCCAGCTGGGGTCGGGCAGCGGCAAGGCTTCCCCTGAGGAACCCCGGGGAGAGGGTTCCCCGCCACTCCGGGTGCCCATTCCATCCTGAACGCCCCTCTCTAGGGGACACGAAGCCGCCCGGCCAGCATCTGGTTTCCTTCTTAGGAAAGACTGTGCACCCCCTTCTCAGCCACGCCCGACGGCTGGCTCTGAGGAGTGCGGCCTTGGCACCCGGGGCAAAGGCGCATGGCTGCCTCTGCGGACTGCGATCCCCTCCCAGACCCGCCCGGCCTCCCCCAGCCGCGATGAGGTCAGCGTGGCGAGCCTTGGTGAGTGTCCCTGGCCATGCCGGTGGGTGGTGCGTCTATGTGAGCCCCAAGATCAGAAACATTCTAGCAGCCGTCCAACGGTCGCTCTGGCAACCGCAGGCGACTCCAACACCAGGGAGCAGGCGGGGGGCAGCCTGGCCTGGGCACCATGAGCTTGGGCTTCCATGTGAGTCCCCAGGAGGTAATGGGACAGGGCGGGGGGGGGACAGAGGGACATGACAGGGGGCTGGGGGGTGTGGTGCCAAAGCCACTCACCTCCTCCTCCTCGAAGCCTGTGAGGTCCCAGCGGTAATTGAGACGCATCTGTTTCCGCTTCCAATGCTCCATGAAGGTGGCGGCTGCAGGCAGGGAGGGGACAGCCGGAAGGTCAGGGGCTGAGAAGTCCCCAAATCACTGATGACACAGACAGAGGCTCCTCTTCTGCACCATTTGGTGAGTGAGGGCAATGCTATGCTGGACTTCACATGGATTGACCCGCGCAGCCCTCCCATCTGCCTGTGAGGCAGAGCCAATCACTCTCCTATTTTACAGATGAAGAAACTGAGGCACAGAGAAATCAAGTCGCAGCCAGCCACTGAGGGGCCAGGCAGGCTGGTCCCAGAGCCTGTACTCTTAACCGTCTTTCTCCATCTGTCCTGGGAACCACAGCTCACAGGCAGAGTCCCTGCGGGCCAACGCCACTCACTCAAGCTTCGAGCCCACGCAGGAGGTCTGCCTGCTGAGCTACACCCTTCGCTGCTACCTCCTGCTTCGTATTCCCAACAGACTAAACATAGTTCAAAGGCTGCCTCCTCCAGGAAGCCTCTGAAAATCCTCCTCAGTATCAGAAAGAAACCAACTCCTCGTAGGACCTCTTCTGCTCACGGTGTCCACACTGCCTGCCATTACGATCCCTGTCCCACGTCCAGGGGCCCCTCTGGTGTGTGGGGGCCAGGGGTGGGTCCCCGGCACACAGACCAGCGCCCGGCACAGGCAGGCACTTGCATGCCCACTGAATGAGTGAACAGCTTTTTTGAGCGAACAACTTGCCAATGGAGATGCAACTGGCTGCATCATTTGCCATGAATGTTTCTCCCCACAAAGAAGACTCAGCAGAGGCTGAGGGTGTAAGTAACGTAAGCGTGGTCACAGAGTTAGTCAGAGCTCAGGATTTCTGAGCTGTCACGTGCCAGGCACTGTTCAAAGCGCTGTCACAGACAGTATTAATCTTATGCCAACCTCACGGTAACCACGCGAGGGGGGTGCTATTCTGTCTCCCTTTTACAGAGAAGGAAGCTGAGACGTGGAGGAATTAAATGGCTTGTGGGGGAAGGGGTGGCATGAAGGCGGAAATAAAATGAGACGTGGAACTTTAGTGCAAATTCACCAATGTGCTTCCTCATCAGGAAAGCATGCAAGCTGAGAGTCAGCAAGCGGTGGGTCTGACTCTGACCCATCTCCTGATCTGGAGGCTTTTAGTCAACACAGAACAAGCCCCTCCCCATTAAGGGGAGGCAAGAACATGTATTTGCGCAGAATGGATGGGTGCATTCTAAGTATTAGCCACACTACCAGCCAGGCCCAGCCAGGAAACAGGGACCTTTCTAGGTCTCTCAAACTGACGTAGTTTAGTCCTGGGAACTGGCCACACAGGCAATGGAAGAGTTGAGAAGACAAGCGGTCACCCAGAGATTAGCGATACCAGGAAACAGCTCCAATTTAGGGGTGGTGGGACAACGGAGGGTGGTGTTACCAGAACCAGAAATTGGAGCTGCCCAGAAGCAGCTAGGACCACGGAGGGCGTCTGAGCCACGGAGAGGACAAAGCTCTGCCAGAGACGTTCCAGGAAGCCGGGGCTTTGGGGAGAGATACTCAGCCTCTCCCTTTCTCCCACCTTCTGATCTCCCATCAGGGCTTCCCGTTGGCTGAACCTACCAGGCAATGGGAGAGCAAGGGAGCCTGGGAAATGTAGTCCCCTGTGATACAACGACGTACTGAGCAAAACCACTGTGGCAAGGGTTCCAGGAGGAGCCATGCACTTGCTCTGCGGAGGTCGCAGCCTGCACCACCTCCCAAGAAGGAACAAGAGAGGCTATTTCCTTCCACCTCTTCTAACATGTCCTTTGGCCACTGCAGTGGAAGCAGTCGGGGCCGAATCACACCTCCACGCGTTCTGGAAGGCGCATTGCCCCTTCATGTTTCGATGGCTGTCTCTCTTTGCCCTCCTGTGCCTGCCATGGCAGTGCCTCTTTTCAGCCTCGGGCCAGAAACGAGCTCTATTTTGGACTGAGGACTGCCCTGCAGGGCTGGCTCCACACTCACCTGCAGGGCTGGCTCCACACTCACCTGCAGAGCTGGCCTGTTCACCTTCCCTGTTTCGGCCTCCCCAGCCCCACCTCCTAGACCTCACCCTCCCTCCACTCACCAGCCTGCAGTGTGATAACGACAGTTACCTTTCAATGAGGACTCACCATGGCTCTCTCTCTGTGCTAGGGATTCACTCACATCAGTTAACCGAATCCTTGCAATGCCGGGCAATACAAATCATTTCCATTCATAAATTTACAAACGGCCACAGAGGCTCAGAGGGTGAAATGCTATCTCCAAGGTCAGCTGCAGGCTAACAGCCTGAGTGAGATTTGAACCTAATTCTATTTGACCCCAGAGTCCATACTTAATCACTGTACTTTGACTGACCCACTGCACGGATATTTGAAATTCTTTAAGGGAATAATAATTGCATTCATAATAAGTAGTCTGATTACTGGGAGCAAAACTTGTATTGCCATTTTATGGATGAGAATAGTGAAGGCACAGAGAGGTTAAGTAATTTGCCCAAGGTCACACAACTAGGCAGCTGGTATTTGAACTCAGGCATTCTTTTGTACTGTTAAATGTCTTGAGATAGACACACGGGCCCTCTTCCAGAGGTATTTGTGGGCTAGCTAGGACCAAGACTGGACCCTTGTAGCGAGGAGTGGAGACAGTACCTAGGCAAAGCTTGTTTGGCTTGGTGATGTTTAAGAAATAGATATTTGCTATAAAATTATGAACTTGCTGCCTCTCCTTTAAAAATAGGAAGCGTGGGCGCCACAAGACTGGAACTGAGAAGTGACCATTCCCTTGTCAAAGTTCAGGCTCACCTTCCCCACCTGGCCATAGACCCCACTGGGCCCTACTGCCCCGACTCTGTGGCACTAAATTTACCATGTCTGCTTTGGAGCAAAATGGTGGAGCCGTGGCGGGGGTGGGGTGGGGGGAGAGGAGGGGAGACATGAAGGCCCACGCAGTCCCCAGGGGCGGTCCCCAGGGGCGGTCCCCGGTCTCAGCTCAGAGCCGGGCACTGTGAACAACTACCTTCGAATGGGCTGGACAAAGGCTGGGAGAAGCCCGAGTGTCCATCCTTTGCAACTGTGCGCCCATAGCCCGCCCGCTTACACCGACCATGAGGACAGCAGTGGGGCCTACGGGGTTTCCAACCCTTCCCTGTCAGGTTCCCAATAATGGTTCTTGTCGACATGCCAACTACATCACACAAATGTTATGCAATGTCTAGCTGACACCAAGCGCTGGGTGTGGTGCCTTTGCACACCCAATCTCTACATCCTACCCTCAAGCCCTCAGCGCGAGGATAACACACCCCCTTTACAGGTGGGTAAACGGAGGAGTCAAGTGACTGGTTAGTAGACGGCAGAAACCTGGACCTAGGATGTGAAGAGCAGCCGGGGTCAGGGGTGGTGGCTTCCCACCCACACGAGGACAAGCTGTGTGCCTTTCTCGGTCAGCAGCACAAAGAAATGGAGAAATGGCCTTGACCTCAACAGCCATACGAAGGGGCCCGAGGGACAAGCCTATCCCCGCCACCCCCAAAATCCAGAGCCCAGCGGACAGCACAGCACAGCACAAAAACCCAGAGGGGAAGGGAGGCCAGCCCAGGACAGAAGCAGGCGGCTGAGCCATTGTCCTTCTGTCCTCAAACATTTGCTTAATGACACAATGCTAGACAAACACATTCTCGTGCAGGAGCCCAGAGGTGGCAAGTGAATGGAGGTCTCTGGATGCGCCCCGGGTCAAGTTCTCGTGTGAGCGCAGGCAGGTGACCACCCGCCTCTGCCAGACTGCGTCCCCACGTATGCACAGTGGGCTTGGGAACAGTGCCGACCGGGGGACTCCATGGGTCAGTCCCCAGCAGCCCAGGGCAGGGCCACAGAGCAGTGTGCTTAGGAGCTGGCCCACCTGGCAGGGTCACCACTTTGTCTCCTTACGATGCTGGTCATAGAACAAAAGGCCTCCTATTGGATAAGGCCATTTACATGAAACATCTGGAATATTTACAGGGAATTCCATAGAGACAGGAAGCAGACTGGTGGCTGCCAGGGGCGGGGAGTGGGCAGGGAGGATGGGGCTGCTTGCTCATTGGGTCTGGGTTCCCACTGGGGTGAAGATATTCTGGGACTGGATGGTGGCGATGGCTGCACAACACGGCAAATGGACTAAACGCCGCTGAGCTGTGCACTTACAATGGTTAGTTTACGTGAGCGAATTTCACCTGAATAAAAGAAATCAAACCGCAGAACAATAAGGAAAGAGGCCCTGTGTGTTCACCTGCCGTGTCCCGGAACCAGAGAAAACGGCCCGCGGTTATCTGTGGGGGTGGGGCAATCAGTCCATTTTCCTCCGGGGTTTCTTAGAGTGTGGGCCTGGGATCCCCCAGGAGCTTGTTAATATACAGATTCCTGGGCTCCATGGACTCTGCGTTTTCAACAAGCTGTGCAGGTCGCCCTTCTCTACACGAGGTGTCTAGAAGCACTGATCTATCCACCGGCTGTCCTTCTTTCCTTCCATCCATCTCTACCCATCAGATTAGCTGGGGGTCCATCCTCCCTGCACTCCCCTCTACCCCGTCCTCTCTCCCCAGCCGCACCCACCTCACCCCCTCGGGCCCTGTCTTGATCTGTCCAACTGTCTTCATGCCTAGGCCTCACTCCAGTCTCCCTAATTCTGGATGCCTCCTCTGCTGGCTGCTGAATCCCCTTCCTGATACCCCCTTCCCTGAAACGCTTCCATACTTCATGAGGTGCCCTTGCTTCAGCCTTCCAGCTGTCTTTTGTGCCAGCTGGATCACCACGGACTCTCAGACCCGACGTTGTAGTCGCAGAGGCCACAGAGGCAAGGCTTGGCGGATGCTGGGCGTTTCTGCAGCTGCCCACAGAACAGCCCCGGTTCCCCGGTGAGGTCCAAGCTCCTAGGGGCTGGGGCCCTGTCTCCCAGACCTCTGCCACCCCCTCCTGAGCCGGCGGGCCCTGGGGGCAGGCAGGGCTCACCCACTCAGACTCCATCAACATGTGACCCCCTGAGAGTACAAACCAGTTTCATGAGCACTGGCTCCCAGCACTGTCAAATGATTGCTCAACACACACCCCATTTTCTCATAGTGGAGATCAGAGACACATCTCCTTGGGAGCCACAGGATTGGATCCTGCCTGTCAGCACACCGTGAACACGGGGTTCAGGCACAAAAGCCTCCAGCCCTTCATTTTCTCACTGAGTCATCTACTTATTTATCCTCTGAACACGTGTAAGCTCACGAACCTACCACTGGCCTTTTCATTCCAGCGGAGAATCACAGTGGAACTCTCCCTACACCCCCACCTGGCTCAGGGTGACAGCTGGGTGACCTGCCCCCGGGGAAGGGCTGTCAATTGCACCTCTGCCATTTCATTAAAGCTGGGACCCTCTTTCTCCAGCTTCCTGCAGGCCAGGCACAAATCGGATAACCTCTTTTGTTCTGCACAAAACTGACAAGCAGTTAAAACCCCATTATTATGCCGTAATTTTAGAAAATTGATCCTGGAGAATGGCTAAACGGGGCTCCAAGCTGCTGCATGTGACATCTGATTTGAGGCGTTGAAATATCATAAATCCCAGGTAGCAGTGAGCTGAGGGCCAGTGTCAGCCCCTGGAGAAGCCGGACCCCACGGGAGAGTAGAAGCAAGGTTAAAACAGCAGCAGGAGGCGATTCCTCTCGGGGTGACACAGTCTGGCTGCTCTCTGTCATTGTTGGAGCAGAAATGGTAACAGTTGGAGAGAAGAAAGGACCCAGTGGGAGAAGAAACACCAGTGGGAGGATGATCCCTTAGAGGGTAATGAACGAATAATTGAGTAAGGGATTAAAAAACCCCACAACGGGGAGATCTCTGCTAATTACCCTTGACAGCAAGTGTGAAACAGCCAGGGATAGAGGGACCGCCACACCCCCTCTCCGTTCGCAGGGGGCGGAGTCGAGTCAACACACCCCTCAGCCCAGCAAGCTCTTTCCTGTTGCTTCTCTCTTTGATTTATAATCAAAGTTCCCTTTTCTTAAGTAAGTGCTTCATAGGAGTGGCTTGGCTTTTGTGTTATTTTTCTCCCCCATGTGGGGAGCACGTAGCCTGAACCTGCACTTGACTCTGACAGGCACATTTGTCATCTCCCTTGATGGAACTGGAGCTGGCGGAGGCGTGGGGCAAACAGCAGAGTCCAGACTTGCCTCTTTCCCTCCGTCTCCGTCTCGGGGACGGAACCCACCTGTTTCAGTCCCAAGGATGGGGCTGGTGGGAAGGGTTGGCCAACACCTTTGAAGGTGTGAAGTGGCATTGCTTTGCCCATAGTAGGTGCTCAGTAAAGACGTGTGAAGTGAAAAAATTGGCTTCATGGACCTGGACGCACTGGATTTAAGAAATTTAATCAAATCCCTAAGGTCCCGGCTAGCCGAGCAGCATGACTGCCTGTGTGTCTCTTACTACCTGCTCTAGGTAAATCTCTGTTCCCCCAGGAGGGCACAGAACAGAGCTTGGAGGATGTCTGGATGGAGAAGTATGACCATGGCACAGCTCTGTCATGTCTGTTAGGAATCTGTTAGCTGTGTGATCTTGGGCAAGTAACTTAACCTCTCTGTGCTTCAGCGTTCTCATCAGAGAATATGACAGAGCCTCACTCTGTTGTGGACTGTTGTAGGGTCACTGAGATAGCTGTGCAGAGCTCTTAGCCCAGGGTGGGACACACGGTCAGCCCTCAGTGCAGGTTCTGGGGGGGGAAGGGAGGAGTATCTGGGGACAGACGAGGAAGCTATTCCAGGTGAGAATAAATGTGAGGTCCTCCCATCAGGAATAAGCCAGGCAGGTGTTCAGCGTGGGTGTCAGCCAGAGCCCATTAGGAAGTGGGGCCCAGGGGGAGCGTATTGGGGAGTGGGAGCCCACATGCTGGGTTCCCATCTTGCCTCTGCCTCTTATTAGTGGCGTCAGCTTGGGAAAGTAGCCTCTTTGTTCGCCTGCCAAATGTAACAATGGAGGTATTTACGTCCTAGAGCCATTGGCGGAATGAATGAACCACCACACGTCAGACACTTAGAACAGTGCGTGGCACATAGTAGGGCCCAGCTCCCTGAAGCTAGTGTTCTTTCCTGGAGGAGATGACGTGATGTGATTCACAGAGGGTCCCAAGCACAGGTGAGAGGTTAGGTTGGAGCTCCAGTTTCCTGGGGTCCAGGCTGTTTTCACATGCTCAAAATTCAGGTGCTCTGGGGAAGTGGGGCGGTGGATTGGGGGAGGCGGGTTGTCACTTGGTGAGTGGTAAAAAGTGTAACTATTGCACTGTTTTGTACACCTGAAACTAATTTAAAATTGAGAAAAAAACAAAAAAAAGCAGGTGCTCACTGAATCAATGTACTAGCTAGCATGATGTGACAATCGGCACCAGGCACGGAGAGAACGTCATAAGCAGAGACTCATCTGAGGTTCCCACAACCCCCTGAGGTGGTGCTACTGCTATCTCCATTCTACAGGTGGGAAGCCTGGGGCCCAGAGACTAGAAGCAACTTGCTTGAGGTTCCACAGCTGGTAGGTGACAGAGCTGGGAACTGAACTTGAGTCCGGCCCAGGAGCTGGCACCACCCTGGCACACAGCCAACCCAGCTGAGTTATGAAATCAGATCAGACCGTTAAGCCGGTAGTCGGTGCAGCTGAGCTCCACCATGGGGGTGGGCAGGCCAGGTGAGCCTTCCCAGCTCAGGCAGAGCTACCAGGAGGCCTCAGCGGGAGCTTCTTGGGCCCAGATGGGGACGGGGGTGGGGGAGACGGAGCGAGCTGATCAGTGCTGGGGTCTTGAAGGCGGCCAGGCAGGCTGCGGACGAGGAGGTGAGGGCGGTGGACGGGTGTGTGTGTGGGGGAGTGGTTCACATGCACACAGGGTCCAGAGAGGCAGGGTGGGCATCGGAGGGAGCACGGGCTCAGGGAGATGAAGGCTCGGTTCCTGGCCATGGCAGTTCCATCCTCGCCTTGCCCACTCAGGAGCTCAGTGACCCCGGGCAACCCACATCAACTCTCAGGGCCTGGGCTTCCTTACCTGTTAAATGGGCACGTGGAGCCTACAGGGATGCCGCAAGGATCTCATGAGAGCGGTGCCCCAGGGCTGGCCCAGGTCAGGCCCTCCCTGCTGGGAAGCAGCTGCCTTCCTGGGCCGACAGACCCTGGTCCCAGGAAAGAGGTCCTGTGCTAAGAGCAAAGCACCCCCCCAGGCTTCCACAGGGGCTTCTGGCTGGGCCAGAATAGCTCGTCTGCAGCTGCGACACCGCACAGAGCCTGGGAACCCGCAGACCAAGCGGGAGCTTATTCTCACCTCCTTCCCTCTGTGTTCATTCCTGCACCTGTGGCCTGTGGATACTCCCCAAAAGAAGGAAATTGGGGACCTGCCCCAAATCGCCCGTGCCCCAAAAGCCCAGCGACGCGGGCACTTTGCTTACCCCAGAGGGCCATGAACACGGAGAAGAAGACAGTGGCGGGGTTGTCGAAGAGGTGGCTGGCCCGGGCCGTGGCGCACGCCGAGCTCATCTTCCAGTAGCTGCACGTCTTGTCACACAGCGGACACATGGTGATATTGTGTCTCTGGTCACACATCTCCATGCTGGAAGAGAGGGGGCCACCGAGAGTGCCGGGCCGGGACGTACAGGGGCTGCGCCGGCCCACGTGGACTGGATGCCTCCTGGGAGCCACCGTGGAGTGGGGGACGGTGCTGGACCTGAGCTGGGGGTTGGTGAGGGCCTCTTGGTTCTGCCATAGTGGACCCTGGGAAGGCACGCTAACCAGCTGCCAGTGCCATGTCCCTCCCCTCCATCCAGAGCCTGCTTCAGACATGCGACACGTGCTGTCTGTCACACAAGGTCCCACACCCAGAAGGGCCTGCACTTGGTTTCATGCTTGGCTGTCCCCACCTTAGAATTCTTAATGACTTTTTTTTTTTTTTTTTAGCTGAGCCATCCTGCTACCTGTTGGCAGCTCAGCGGCTGCTCAGCTCGGGCTGGACTCGAACTGCTGTTGCTCAGAGCTCAAACTCTTGAGCGAGCTCTTAACCAACTGAGCCACTCGGCTGGCCCTCTTTAATGACTTTTTAATAAGAGTCCCATGTTTTCATTCTGCACGGGGCTGTAACTTCTGTAGCTTACAACTTTTGGGTTCTGTGGAGTCCCGCCCAGACTTACTGTGTGACCGGGAAGGGGAACATGTGTGGTCAGCTCTGGGGGTGACCTTGATGGGCGGCACCCATAGCTTGTGCAGGAGCTACCTTTAGGAGAAGTCGAGGGTCCCCCGCCAGCTCCCCTCTATAACTGGGTCCTGTCAAGGCTTGTGCTAACATTGGATGCTATCCAGGTCTTTACACGATAAGTCCCCCAAAACTGAAAGAATAGGGTAAAACCACAAAAAGACCGCACCCTTCCTGAGAACCCGCCACACGCCATGCAGGTCTCACTCAGTCCTCATGGGGACGTTGTGGGGAGGTGACACGCCCACACGCTGCCTGGAGTGGGTGAGAGCCACCATGCGGGGCTTGCTCAGGAAACAAGGGGTGTCTGGCCGGGCCGGTGGGCTCTGCTCAGGGTAGGCTTTTGTCCTGCTGAGCAGACACAAAGCTCATCCACTATGCTCAGACGGGGGAGGGGAGCTGCACGAACCCCAGCGGCCTTCCTCCTCCACCTTGCCCCCCAGCATGCGAGCTCTCTCCTACTAACGCGGAAAAACACCACTCTTCAAAGGCCATCAGCTGTACAAGCAGGAGCCTGCACAGGGTGTCCTCCGGGCCCAGGCCAGCTTTGGGGACTATCACAAGCCTGTCTTCACAGACGTGAAAAGGAGCCCGGAGAGGGGAAGTGACTTGCTCGGGGCCACACAGCCGCGTGGGGGTGAGCCCTGGTCTCTGTAACTGCAAAGCCGGTGCCCTGCACGGCTCATGGGCTGCCCAGAGGCCACAGGAGGGCTCCCTGCTGGGACCCCTGGGTTGGGGCCTCGCTCAGCTGTGCCTGCCTGTGCCACTGCCCAGGTCTGGTCACCTCAGACTTACTTTCTCCTTCTGGAACATGAGGGGAGGGGCCAGAAGAAGGCCCTTCCAGCCCTGCCCTGCCCTTCTCCCCAGTAACTTGGACAAGATGCTGACCTATAAACAGATGCGGCAGGAGTGCTCACTCCCAGGGGTGCGGCGGTTATCTGCGAGCAGGCTGAAGGCAGGGGTGCCTTTTGGGGTTTCTTTGTTTTTAATTTCTGATGCACCCGAACGTATGCACAGAATCATGCTTGGGCCCCGGCCGCCGGTGTTTAAACATCTGCTGAAGGGCGCTGAGGGGTCTTCCTCCGCCCAGCTCAGTGGGCCTTCTGGCTCAATGCTCTCCTTTCCGTGACTCACCACACGTTTATTAAAAAAACTGCACACACGCCATACATGCCAGGCACTGCGTCGGGCACAGGAGACGGAAAGACAGACAGAGGCCACCGCTGCGGGATTGGAGCCCGGGGAAGTGTGCGCGCATGCGTGCGTGAGGGGTGGGCATGGGGCGGGCACGGCGCGAGCGCCAGGCGCGGGCGTGACATGTGGGCACACGCGTGACATGTGGGCGCACGCAGGCGGCCTGGCAACGTGCATCCGGAGCTGGGAATTGAATCTCAGCTTAGTACTTGGGATCAATGTGGCCTTGGGCAGGTTACTCGAACTCTTTGGGCCTCAGTTTCCCCATCTGTAGCCTGGGGATGCTGAGAATGGAGGGTGCCCACGTTACTGGGTTCTCAAGAGGATCAACCAGAGAACGCACGGGAAGCCCTGGAACAGCACTGGCACTGGTGGGCCATACTCCTGTTCCCAGTAGTGATATTATTACGGGAATAAGCGGGCACCAGGCAGCTAAAGTGATTTTAAAAGGATGCGCAGGCGCCATCTTGAGGGGTCCATCTCTTGCCCTTCTCTGAGCTTCCTGTTTTCTGGGGGCCTCTCCTGGGAGGCAGAAGAGGCCAATGTGTGGGGCAGTACTTGACCCGAGCCCCTCTCGGGACCAGCCCATAGAGGCCGCTCCCTCCCCTCCCCCGTTGTTAATGTGCCTCCTGGGGCCACAGTGAGTGCCTGGCCCAAAGGGGGGCGCCTGGAGCCCTGAGGTAGGCAGGGACCAGGGAGGGCCAGGCCCCCACATCTCAGACGGCTGTGAGAACCACGGCTGCCCCAGCCCTCTCGCCTGCCAGCACCAACGCCAGCCAGACAAAAAGCCTTTTTTTCTGCCAGTTTTAAACCCTCCGCCGCTCCCTTCACCACCTTCAGCCAAAATAAAGACGAAGAACTGGAAGGCCTGGTCTTTGGAGCGGGGGCAGGGGTGGATCAGCCTCCAAGGGAAACAAGACCTGCCGCTTCCTCCAAGGCACCAACCAGGCCAAGGCCAAGGTCGGACAGACCTCAGGGATGCCCTGCAAGTGCTGTCTGCCCCTCGGACCATGTGATGGGAGGCTGTGGTGCTGGCCTGGCCCAGGGACCTCGGCGCCCTTGTTGGGGTGTCCACGCCTGCCTGAGCAGAGCCTCCTGGCCGAGGCAGCCGGCTCTACATCCAGGGGAAGGAGGAAGGAAGGTGGAGACGTCCCCAGCGGCCTCCCAGGGGGACCAGGAGGCCTCCACTGGCCACATCCCTCGGTGCTTTGGAGTAAAATCCCCACCAGGTCTAGGCTACTTTGAGCTTCACCACAGTCAAACCCAAGCACAGTGACCTCATGTCATATTAGCAAACAAAGGACAAGCTTTCTCCTGCCTGTGCCCAAAGTAACCCTGGAGGGGACATGAGCCAGATTCCTTTAACATTTGATTCCGGGTGGGTGGAATAGTTTAGGTATTATTCATGTATTAAAACATAATTTACACAAAAATGTACTGGATATGGCCTTTCTGTGCTGAGGGTCCTCGTGGGCCAGTTTCCTCGCCAGATAAAGGCCCACTCGCACTTTATTGGCTGGAATGACGGCTGCATTTTCCAAGCCATAGCTCTGCTTTAGAGATACCGGGCTGAGTCGTAAGAAATGTAACTGGATTGATGTCTTAGGACTTTTCCCAAGAGACTGTGAGCTCCTGGGAGGCAGGGTCAGGGGGCTTACAGCTTTCTAATCGGCACAGTAGCCTGTGGTCCTAACACACAACACAGTTGTCTTGGGGTCATTTTTAGCAGGTCTGGGAAACAGCTTGAAAGGACGGGAGACTTCTATGCATGCGAGGACAGCATCCTCCAAGCTCGGAAGACTTCCCTTCTGTTCTGGCTGCCATTCTGGGAGAATCACAGCCCCACAGGAGGCTGGCCTGTCTCTGGGGTCTTGGCCTTCCTTCCAGAGCCCCTGCGCCTGTCTGAACCCTTGGTCAACAGCAGAAGGAGCATCAGCTCGGCGTTCAGAGGCCTGGGTCTGCTGTTCCTGCCACACTTCCCAGAGCCCTGGGGACAAGGGGAGCAGCGTGGAGAGAGACCTGGCAGGCTGACTGTCCTGCCCCGAGGCCTCTGCACATCATTTGTCTCATTTCCTGACTTCACAAGGAAGAAGTGCATTATCCTGTCACACTGTGACTAACAACTAAAAGGGAGGGGGGAAAAAGAAATAAAAGGAGCTGGGTATTTGTTTTCCGTGTCCTTTCAACAATAGAACGTCTCCTAGGGCGTTCATGCCCGTAAAGGATGCCTGGTCTTCAGACGCCAGGTAAACCCGCTGCACTGTGTCTCTCATCCTGATGGCCTGGCGCGCCACGTCCGGGGCTGAGTGTGTGTGCGGGAGGCAGGGAGAGGGGGGGCCCCAGTCTAACGAGGCCTGGAGCTGTGTTGGCAATGTTAGGCTCCTTCCTAAGGACAGTGGCCACCTACCTGGGGATGTTTTCGTTGACGGTGGCACATCCGTAGAGGAAGACGATGACCCCAACCACGGAGGCAGGGATGAGCATCTGGGTGTACACGCCCAGCCAGGCGAAGTACAGGCCGATCTTCTCCCCAAAATACTTCCTGCGCCGTGGGGCAGAGCCAAACACAGACAAGCTTACTTTCATTCTGCACCAGTGGAGAGACATGTCACGTCCCCTCCCCAGCAAGGAATAGCTCAAATTGGGGCCACCCGTTCTCAAGAAGTAGAGAGTGGGCAGAGCTCTGAGCCAGGCCATCAGGTTTAGGGGTGCTCTCTGCTTTTCCTCTGCCCACCCCCTCTTTTCTGTGCCCCAGGAAGGTGGGAACATTTCCGTTTGTGACACCCACCGCTGGTGGGTGTGACGGATGGCCTGGGGAGGCTGTCAGCTCCATTCCAAGTCCTGTTTAGCTGAGACCTGGAATGAACTCTGGCCTGGAGGCACCAGGAGAACCAGCAGCTCCTCATATTAAGCGTTTTTGGCACCTTGATGGGTTTAAATTCACTTTCATGGGCTGAACTCTGGTCTACATGTCCCCACAGGACACACATTGCTTAGTCCAGTCTGCCCCACTTCCCGCCCTTGGGACAGAGGTCTTCTTGGGAGAGGACAAAGTTTGAGGCAGCTCTTCTCTTCCTCTCAACACAGCAATGCCAGAAACCCCAGCAGTTGCCCAGCTGCTGGGCTCTGAATGCAGCAGGAGGCGGTGAACATGATGGAAGAACCCGTCCTCCAGAGAGTTCAAATAAACTACTTAAGCTAAGGCTGGCCCAGGCTGCCAGAGACCTTGGGCCCGCTGCACAAGCTCTTCAAGTTCAGACAGGTTCCTCGGTACTGAATGCGCAGTGCGGCTGAAACATACGGGGACATTTATCCAGCTCGGGACTCACCTCCCACAGCCACTGCCTGAGGAGCCAGGCCTGCCCCAGGGGTCCCTCTTACCTGACCAGGTCGATGGGCTGGTACTTATAGAAGACCCCGTAACTCGCCCACTCTTCATACAGGAGCTGGGAGAGAGGGAGTGGGGAAGGGCTGCTGAAAATATGATGTTCCCAGTTCACTCCCCAGAACACAGGGCTGCCAGGACGCTGATGAACTCCTGTTCTCAGTTAACAGCTACATTATTCATTCATTCATTCATTCATTCATTCAGTCAGTCAGTCAGTCAGTCATTCAGAGCCGGCCATGTGCCAATTACCCTGCTGAACACTGGACTTTCAGAGGTGAGCTCTGCAGACACAGCCCTGAGCCCTGAGCTCCGTCTCCGGCGGGGCTTTGGTAAGGGTCCCGAAGAACCCAGCCTTGGTGGGAGCTGAGCTGGTACTGGAGGCTGGCGGTGGGGTGGGGGCACTCCCCGAACTAGAATGAGCCTCCACTTTTAGGTGAAGGTGGGGATGGGAAAGCAACTTCTGGCATCGTTATGAAATCCTCACTGTTCCTAATTTGATTCAGATTTGATCTAAAACAGCCTAACGCTGTAAGGCTTTTCCATTTACATTTCCCGGTCGTCCCTGTCACACACCAAACCATCTTTATAAAGGACAGAATCTACCAGTCTCTGGAGCAGAGAGATACACGTGGCAAGGTTTTTAAAAAATCTCATGGGATGCAAAGAGCTTGACACTTATCTCCTGAGATGGGCTGTCTGATTAACATGCTTAGTGAAATAAATGAAATCTACACACGCCCCATTACCCCCCAGGCTTTGGGCAGGGACGGGAATCAGCGTGACAGATTGGAAGCCTTGTATGAACACGCAGAGGGTGTCCTAGAGAAGGCTCCATGTCAGGACTGCTGGTTCTAAAAAGGAAATCCCACGCATGTGGGTAATTAGTGCTTTACCAACCGTAACTCACAGCCTGAGGTCATACGGCTGGGTGGAGGGGAGCCGGGACCCACCTGGGACCTTCTGTGCCTCGGCCACCTGTCCCTGCTGGATCAGACGAGGCATGGGCGGGAGGCAGGCACGGGGACGCCCGTGAGGACGCACCAGTCCTCTTCGGTACACTGCGGCTTGCCTCGGGTCCTTTTTCCTTTTCTTAATAATGAACTTAACATTTGGGGGGAGGCCTCCTATACTCAGATTCTGCTGTGGCCCCATGAAAACATGCACCATCTTATAGCATCACCCCCAAACACTCTATGCTACGAACTGAATGTTTGTATCCCCCAAATTCATGTTGGAGCCCTAACCCCTACTTGGAGATGGGGTCTTTACAGAAGTAACTGAAGTTAAATGAGGTCATAAGAGTGGGGTTTTGATTTGATAGGGCGGGTGTCCTTATAAGAAGAGACATCTGAGCTTTCTTTCTCCGTGCATATGCATGGAGGAAAGGCCATGTGAGGACCTAGCGAGAGGCGGCTGTCTGCAAGCCAGAAAGAGAGCCCTCACCAGAAGGCAGCCCTGCCGGCACCCTGATCTTGGATTTCCAGCCTCCAGAAATGTGAGAAGTAAATGTCTGTTGCTCTGTTAGCAGCCTGAGCTAAGGCATTCCCACCCCCACTCTCCCACTCCCCACTGACTTTGTGCATTTCTGTGCACAAAGATATCTTCACATAAGTCTTTGAATATTAAAAATGTGTAAGAGGCTCGCTGGGTGGGGTGCACAGACCAGGGAGTCAGAGGTCCCTTAGCAATGGCCTCTAGTGAACACTTCCATTTCCTCAGGCCGCTTCTGCACTTCTGAGAAAGAACTCAGGAGAATGCAAGCACTGCGATCCATCGAAGTCAACACACAGGCCTCTAAAAAGCAGGAGGGAAGTAACTTTAAAAGCAAAATGTGCTCTTAGTACATTAGAAGTGACCCTTGCTGTCAGAATCCTGGGTTGTGCCTGCTCTGATCTTCATGAGTGGCTGTCTTTAGGTTTTAAGTCCTTCTGTAAGTGGTACAAACAGGATGTATTCAGCAGGATTCCAAGTTCTGACAGGTGAACAGCAAGGCTCTGTGCTGGCGGTGAGCCTTTGCAGCTTCTGGTAAGGAACCCGGACGCCTCAGAGGGGCCTCCCCCATTGTCTCAGAGGGGAAAGTGTCCAGGAATGGGAGCTGTGCTCGTGCTGGGACGTTGGCTCTGCCGAGTCTGGAGTGGGCAGACTCTCTCTCTCTCTGAGCCCCTAGTGGTGGTCCTGGGCAGACCCTGCCCCGAGTCCTGCGTGGGTGACCTGAGTCAGGCCCGCCACTCTAAGCCCCATCGTCTACTTCATACTGAGGGACGCTGTCTTTCCTGCCAGGCACAGAGTGAGCCCAAATGGGCTCATGCCCGTCAGAGAGCTTTCTAAAGGCAGCGTGCCGGTGGTTTGCTATGTCTCACTCTGCCTGGGAATGCAGAAAATGACGAATAGCCCCCAGTTTTACTCTGTAAATAGGGAGGTCTAAGCCAGCAAACGCTGATGAGATTGCATAGCATTTTGGGAAAAGCAAAGTGGCAAACACTCCTGGGCAGCTCGCTCTCCTTAGCTGAAATCAAGTCACCGAGTTATATCACAGGCAGACTAAAACTGGGAGATGCATCGGAGGGAGGGAGGAAGGGGGAGAGAGAGAGGGAGAGGGTGAAGATACAAGGGGAGAAGCCATGAGAGAGCCTCTGGAAGGCATGGCCACGTCACATTGGTCACTGTTCACGGGCCTGCCCAGTAGGGGCTGGTCCACAGCAGGCTGGCCACCATCCGCTGATAGCTGTGACAGATGGCGACACACCCAGCCTTCTACATAAGCCACTTTACCTTGGTAGGATTTTCTTCCTGCCAAGAAGTGAACATCTATCCCTCTGCAGGCGTCAGCGTAAAGAAATCTGACTTGGATTTCCCTGTTACCACTGGCAGAACTCTGAGGGTGCCCCTCAGCCTCGTGAGCAGGGTGGAGGTGCCGGGGCCCTGGGTGGGCCCATAGAGGCTGCTGGCTCCAGTCACTGTAGCCCGGAGACTTCCAGGACACAGAACTCGGGGGGGATCTCGGCTCAGCCCGCTAGCATTCCTCCTGCCCAGACCTCCCACCTGGGCCTACTCGCCAGGCAGGCCCATCGCAGCACTGAAGCCTCCTTAGTGACTGTGTAGGAATGCGTACGTGCCCCTTGCCATCTCCCCCCAGAATGGAGATCCCAGGAGGACAGGTTTGTCTGGTCTGTGTCATCCCCAACACCTCGAACCAGGCCTGGGACAGATAACAGGGTTCCAGTAAGTAATTGCTGAACGAACGAACGAATGAATGAATGAATGAATGAACGAATGAGTCAGGCCCTGTGACTCTCAGTCCAGCACAGGATGGAGCAACCTCAACCCAAAGGGAGGTGATGGATCTCAGAGGGGAGAGCTGGGGAGAGCTGTGCCCCGCCCCCCATTACAGCCGCGTCCGCCGCTTGCTTGAACATCCCTACTTGCGCCCCGGCCCCTCTAGCTCAGCACAGGAAAATGGCCTTGGCTCGGCTGTGTCCCCCTTTCTGTCTTGTGAGGTACCTGGGGTCAGGCACCCGGAGCTCCAGCCACTGACAGGATGCCACAGATTCTGTCATTGGAAACGCAAAATACTCAGAACCAGGTCACTTAAGGCGGAGTCACCAGGGCAGAGTAAGTTCTCCGAGGTTCTGAGTTAGGACCCAAACGCTTACCCGGGGCATCCTCCCTGCCTCCCTTTTTTCCTTTAATCCATCCAACCACCCAACCATCTGTCAGTCCATCCATCCATCCACCCACCTACCGACATATCCATCCATCCATCCATCCATCCATCCATCCATCCATCCATCCATCCATCCACTTATCCAATACTCCCTGACTACCCCCATGGCCAGGCCTTGTTTCCTTTGCTGGGACAGAAAACGGGGGTGGTAGAGGGTGAGCAGATTTCCAGGCAGAGAGAACAGAGGGGTCTGGATAAACCCGGAGCTGCATTTTGCTGGGCCTGGCACACAGCACTGCCCAGTAAATAGTTCCTGAAAAAGTAACTGAATGAGATCGTCTTGGCACAGACGTGACCACAGGCCAAGCCGTCTTCAGATTAGCACAGCGGCCAGTGTGGCTGGAGCGAGGGAAGGCCGGTGGGGATGAGGGTGGAGGGGCCTATGTGGCTTGGGGGACTGAATCAGGCCAGAGGGGGTCGTGGGTGCCCATGAGGGAGGACATCAGCGCGTGGCAGAGGAGTGCAGGGGGACGGGGAGGGTGAGACGCTGAGGCCAGAGTTGGCCAGAGCAGGCCGTGGAGGGAATGGGGGAGTTCTGTAAGTCATGGGGTCTTAGACGAATGCCAGATGTTCCGCTAAAAATAACCAAATATGTCATTTTTGTGCTAAATCAGATAGCATCTTCAACTGGATTCCCGAGCGGGCAAGTTGTGTCAAGTGCCAAAGGTTTAAAAACACGTATTGGGGGCTGAAGGGAGGCGGGAATGGAGAACATTCCAGACACAAAGGTTCCCGGCTCCTGCGATCTGGGACAAGGCCACCATTGTGAGGATCTCAGGGACGCATCTCCGTCCACCACCTTGGAGGGATCTACTCGGGGGTGAGAGGCAGGACCAGGGGGGCTGAGGCGGATACATGGAGCAGGGAGCTGCTCCCCAGGGTGAGGAAGGTCTGTGCTTGTCTGGGGGGCCGACAGGGACTGATGTGGAGTAGCAGTAAGGCTGGTGCCTGGGCGTCGGCATGTGTGCAGGGTGGCAGGACAGAACCCGCTTGAGCATGGAGGGGAGGATGAGAAATGGCCGTGGTGGGGGAGACGTTCATGTGGGGGGGGGGAGAGAAAGAGCTTCCGGAAGCAGCCACACCGAGGAGGAAAAGGGTCACTCGGTGTTTCCCAAAGTGCGTCCCATGGAACACTAACTCAGTAACTTTTCCATTAGAAAGGGTTCCAGGTCAAGTCAGTTTGAGAAACACCGGGTTGGACACCATCCACCAAGTGTCCCCAGGGTGCTGCTGGGGGCCGTGGCTCTCTGTGTGGCTGGCCACAGTGGTTCCCAAACTTATTTGCCCAGGAGCAGGGCCAGATTAAGCGAAATGTCAGCAAAAGTGGCTGGAGGTGGATTCCCCCAGTTATGACACAGGTTTGAACCCGGCCAGGTCGGGTGGAGGGAGGACAAAGAGGACAGACAGGGCAGCCTCTGAGGAGCACACCCTTTCACACCTTCACAATAGCCTGCCAAGGACGCTTCTGAGAATCAGAAAGAGCACAAGGAACCAACGAAGCAGAATCCACCCATGTTCTCCCTCAGCTGCGAGAGAAGCATCGTTGCCACAAATGCCCGCCCCGCCCCTGCCGCGAGCGCCCCGGTCCTTCCTGTGTGTGGGGCTCTGACCCTCCCGAGGGCCCCGGGGTCCCTTCAGGCCCCGATGGAGTGCTTTCCACTCCGCGTCAACTTACTTTTCTGTCATTGAACTCCACATTCTCACCTTCGTAGTCTCCCTGTTCAAAAAGAGAAAAGGGATATTCTTACCACCCAAGAGAGCTTTGGAGTAGCTCAGATTCCTCATTTTTCCAGACAAACTTCACAAACCCTCAGTGACACGGCTAAGATAATCCTAGGACAAAACTTCACACAGAGCGAAGGTGGACCAGGCCTCCGTCCCCTGATACAAAGTGCTCTGTGGGTCCCGTGGCTGCCTGGCGTCACCACCCACCAGCTGGGAAAGCCCAAGTCACCCCCACCACTGACACAGAGACAAAGTCCAGGAAAGGACCCCCGGTCAGGGCCTTGGAACTGGTAACACAAAAGAAAGGGGGCTTCTGGGGCTGGAAGGGGCATATCAATAAGGTGAATACACGTCCCACTCCGTGGTATGGTCCCAGTGTCTTGTCCCCAGTGCCCTGGCCAGGGGGTGCCCTCTTTCACTTTCAGCGCCCCAGGAAGGATGATAAATAATATGGTCACTGCATGGAGATCATGAGCCCAACACTCCCATTTTATAGACGGAAACATTGAGTCTCAGAGAAGCAAACTGACTTCCCTGGGGACAGATGGCTGAATTTGGTCAGCTCTGGGACTCAGACCTAGTCTCCAAGTCCAATGGAAGAGAAGGAGCATCTGAAAGTCGAAAGTGAGCCCCCTGGACCAGCAGTTGACACCAGTGACTGAGCAAAAGCCACAACAGGGGCTCTGTGAGCCAGCCCGGGCTTGGCCGGCATGGCCACTGGTCCTGAGGATGGCCTGGCAGATAAGGCTCCCTGCCGGCTCCCTGTTGCACCCACCAGCTCCTTCCCTGACCCCCATCAGCCCTGCCAGCCCCTCCAGGCGGGGAGGACTTGACCATCAGGCAGGCAACCCGATGCCCTGGCCTTTGGACGGAGACCCTCGGAGCGGTGTAACCAGTTTCCTCCACGGCAGGCACCCTCCCTTGCTCATGCCCAACCTTCCAGCATTTCCCTGTGTTTCTTCTCATGGCTGAGGCAGTCACATGGTCCCACAGCATCTCATCAATCGAGAGGTCAGTTCGCTAGTGACCTCAAGGTGGGTAGACGCCAAACGGGAAGGAAGTTCAAAAGCCACCGAGCGGCCAGCTGAAATGTCAGAGTCTTTTCTCGGTATTTGACACACTAATTACAGAAGACCCCCTGGGATCTGACTCAGAGCAGTGCGTTCTTCCTCCACACACGATTCCAGCAGGTGGCTATCCGGCTGGCACCGGCACCCTGCACCCTGCTGACAGATACTCCTGTCGAAGGAATGAATGCAGTAAGCCAGGCATTGGAGGGGGTGGCGATGCTATGGGCCATGCACAGAGAGCCGTGACGTCGGACAACTCAGCGGTGAGTGAGACAGATGATGAAAAGTTTAGAGCCAGGGCTGCACAGCACACGGAGGCCAAGTTCACTGCAGGCAGCGTTCTGTTGGCCCCACTCAGAGCGACGTAGCTCCCTAAATGTTTGAATAGCAGCTTTGGTACTCAAGGAGGTGGGTGCCCTTTAAGTGCATGGAAAATTCACGGATGTAAAATTCCACATTCCCTCAAGATGCCCCAAGTCCATCATCCGGCTGGAAAGAACCCTGGAAGTAGACCCAGAGGATCTGGGCTCCTCGGGAGGGGCCGGGAGTGACGGCTAGGGTCTGCGCGGCTCTGAACCCTGCCCTTGAAACATGGTCCAGCAACAGGCTGCTCACCGAGGCAAGTTGACGCGATCCAACCCAAATCAACACTGCATTTACTGAGCACCCACTAGGTGTGAGCGTGAGGCTTTCATGAGCTACGCTTGCAATGAATGGGGCCCGAACAGTGGTGTCTTTGTGGGACCAGGAGCATCAGAAGCCCAGAGGAGGAAGGAAGAGATCAACTGTGCCAGAGAAGGGGGACAAGGACAGCCTGGAGCGGATGTCATGCTCAGTCTGCCTTGGGGAGGGGACAGGCGCGACCCAGGCAGAGGAGGCAGGGAAGGGCATTGCAGGCAGGAGGAACAGCAAACACGAAGTCACAAAGGTGAGGGAGCTGGTCGGTCGACCCCAGGTTCCTACAGTGAGTGACGAGGGGATGGGCAACAGGTCAATGGTCCTGGGTGGGGAGGGTGGCCCTCTGCTGTGCTGGCACCCTCTGCTTGTCCAGTCCAGTGTTACTCAAAACGCTTTTATTTCTGTATTCCCTCTGACACCCCCTGCGACCCTGGCAACGGGAAAGGGCTGGTAATTATTCCCGACTCGCAGGTGGGGACGCTAGGGCTCAGAGACCACAAGGGAACGCCTCCATCCAAGGACGCACAGTGAGTGCCCAGCACTAGAATTTGGGTCCCTGGCCCCCAGGCCCGCCCTCTCTCTCTGGCTTGTTGGTTCCTAGTCTTTGCAGTAACACAATTTAGAAAGTTCCAGAGAGCCTCTGTCTGGGCTTCCCACACTGCTCGGGCCCCCGCGGCCCATTCCCAGCGCCCGGTTGAACTCTGGTCCCTGTTTCCATAGAGATAATAAGAAGAAAATCATCTCGTTCTCTCCGTCCTGAGCCAAGACAACGCGCGGCCACGGCCACGGGCTATATTTGTCAGGGGGTCCCAGTGGGATTTAGAGATTCAGCTCAGGAAGCTGACCACTTACTCTGGGGAGACAGACACGCACAGGGCCCTGGTCACTCTGCCAGAGCCCGGAGGGGCCGGGAAAGACATTTCATGGACCAGCTGGCCGCAGAGTTTCTGCCACCAATGCCCCTGTTTGGGTGGAACTGTTCTGCAAGAAAAGCTGGGCCTTTATGTAACTTCCAGGTCCCCACCTGGGGGAACAGTGAAGGCCTGTGCGCAGTTGACATTTAAGGGAGAACCAAAGCAGGAAGCTGGACCGCAGGATAATTAGAGCTCCCTGGGCCGGGGGCAGGGGAGGGGGTGGCCCATGGGGATTCGAGGAGTCAAACAACGACACGGAGATAAGTTGTGTGGGTCCAGGTCACTTACATCATGTAGTGGGTAGGCCGCTGAGTAAACGCCATTGGCCAACAGGCTCGTGATGCCTTGAAAAGAAAGGCAGAGAGAAGGTTACAGCCCAGGCGTGTCCCCCGCTGCTCCGTGTTCCATCAGCGTGGTCCCAGGACTCTCAATCACCGAGAAGGTTCTCAAAGCAAACCACACCTGGCCGCACAGAGCCCGGCCACCTTCCTGGGGTTTCTTCCCTGGGCTCAACCAGATGACAAAAACATGCTCTATTGGCAGAATTAGGAAGACACAGAGGCATCTGGGAGGCAGAAGGGACCCCCAAACCTGCAATTCACCAACTACCCCGCCTGCTTGAGGGCAGGCCTGCAGATCAGAAAGATGGATTTTAAGTGGTTAGAAAAGCTGAATCATGAGAAAAATATGATGGGAAAATTGATGGTGTCAGAAACACACATACAATTTGGAATTAGATTTTAGGTTGATTGGAAAAGCCAAAGAGGAGGCCTGCGGGCCCCGTGCTGGGGCAGAGGCACTTACCATATTTACCACATTTTCGCCTTTTACTTAAAAGGGCAGAGTCCTTCTTTCTTCCCTCTCCTTGCCCTGTTTACACATTGGCTATTAGTTACATGCAAAAGGGCCTGAAAGGATCAAAGCTGCATTTGGGGGAGAAAGCGCACTGTGGTCCAGTGCTCCTGGGGCAGTGGGATGAGAGCCAGGCCTTTATTTGCAGACCCCAGGCCCCGCACCTCCTGGACTCCAGAGGTGTGGATGTGGGCACAAGGCAGATGCGGCTGTGCATGGGGACGGGGTTCCTGGGAGTCTCATCTTGCTCCACACACACCCTTGGGGGTCAGCGTTGCTGAGAAGTCTCCACGAAGCCCCTACTGGTCACGGGACCCTTTGCCTAGCCCAGAGGGCTTTCTATGTAGTAAGTGAGTCAGGTTTTTCAGTGGCTTGGCTGGCCCACCCTCTGCTACTGTGAAACTGGTGGGAAAGGGACTTCCTGAAGTCCACTTAAAAACAGACCATCTCCTTGGTCAGTGATCTGGAATGGTCAGGGCACCTGAGAGATGCTCAGAAATCCAAACTAGAGAGAGGTGGGAGCGTGTGGCTAAAGTCACACGTGAGCGAGACATTCATCTGCAGTAAAAGATGGATGCGGGGTAAGTACTCCTTACTGTTCCTAGGATGCTCTCCTAGGAGCTGCCAGTATGTGGGCTGCTCCCCGCCAGCAGGGCTCACTGCTCCCGTCTGTGGTCTAGGCCTTCTCCAATCACGGCTCCCGCTCCCCCGGGCAAACCCCATGTCCTTTCAACTGCAAGGTTATGTTCTGGTTTATCTGACGATTTACTACCTGTTTCCGTCCCCCAGAATACAGAGCCCCTGAGGGCAGGGAGCGCTTGGGAATAGGCTTGGTGTGTGACAGAATCTATCACTTGCTGCTGCAAGTTGAATGAATGAGGTGGAGGCCAGCAGGGCCTTCAGGCAAGGCGAGGACATGAAATGGGGGTGCAGAGAAGGCCCCTCGATCCATCTGCTCTGTCACCAGGCACCCGGAACCAGCCTGGGCAGAAAGCTGGCAGGAACGAACAGAGTGACCCCAGGAACCCCCGGAGCGGAGTTCAGCTCCAGAGATCAGCCCTCAGACCCTGGACTCTCTGCAAACCTTCACAGCAACCATGGGAGTTTCCTGGGGAGGGGGCCTCACAGGGGCCCCACGGGGAGGCTGAGGTCCGAGACACAGCCCTGGGATCGGACCAGCTTCCTCCCGACTCTGGTGACCTGGGCCATTGCGGAGGCTCTCCCTCTGTCAGAGGTGGGCCAGGCCTGTGGGGACAGTTTTCCTGGGCTCCTCTTGACCCCTGGGTGAAGCCCTACACTCCCACTGACTTAGGGTACAGCTTAGAAATATCAGGCCTGGAAGGGCATCCCTGTGACCGGCCCTCAGCCGTACCAGCGAGGGGACACGCAGCCCGCCTGGCCCTGGGGGGCTCTTCCTCTCTCCTCCCTGTATCCTGGGCCTTCAGCTGCCGAGCATTTCACTCCTCCTGTTCTCTTTTTTCCTTCCACGGCTTCACGTGTGCAAGGACCCTCTCCACCATGTGCACAGGCTCAGGCTCTTACCAGACACACCCTACAGCCCCCAGGCCGCAGCCTTGGGACCCGAGATGCTCCTACAGCTCATGACTGCCCTGCTAGCACAGTTCTGGGCAGGCCATAACACAGCTCCAGAAGCGGGGAAAGGCTAGAAAGGCATCCCCGTGCTCTGAAATGTTCCACGTTCACCAACAGCCTGGAGCTGTGGGGACGACACCCGCGTCGGGGGCAGCTCCCCTCCACATGCTTTAATCGGCAAGGTTTTGCATCTGTGGCTGGAGGTGTTCTATAAACTGGGGCCCAAGGAGCCTGGCTGGGGTGGTCCTGTGGTAGCTTCCGGCATCAAGGCGTGTGTCGAGGGCAGTGCCTTCCAGCAAGGCCTGGTGTGGGGCTGCATCAGCCCCGTGGGGTGCCCTCTACTCTAAGCCGTGAGCCTGTCTGGCTGCATCCAGCCCAGGGGTGCTGCTTTGGGCCATCGCCCCTGCTGGAGCCCTAACTACTACTTCCTGCTGGACTGTGAGGGACAAGAGAGGGTTAAGAAACCTGGTCCCCCTACAGCTTCCAGCAGCCAGGATTTACCACGTGTGTCTGTCTGTCTGTGGTGGGAGGCTCCACACACCACTACAGACACCTCAAGACAAAGAAAGGGAGACCTTAGTGCTGAAAAGTGCCAGGCTTTGGCGAAACTGCCCCTCGGTCCTGGAACGGCTCTCCTGCCTGAAACTGTCACACAGGCTTAAATCAAAACCCTCTCAGAAACCCCAAGGGGGCTGCCCACCCCCCACGGAGATGATTCTGAGGCAAGATTACCACTGGGAAAACCAGCGCTGATGTCAAGCCCCAAAAATGTCCTTACCCATGCTGTACTTGGCTTTGGTACACGTTGTTCTTTTCAGAATTTCATAGACCTAGTGTGGAAACAAGAAAAGGGCGGACCATCACTCGGGCTGCAGTGGCACGCAGCAACGGCCGTGTGATCGCCGAGAGGGGACGTGGTGGAGCGTGGCCAGCGATGGCCTCCTGCCCTCTCCAGGGACAGCGGCAGACTTTTTTGAGGATGCTTGGTCAGCAGTGTCAGGGGCTCGATGTTCTCAGGGATAAGTAGGCACGTCTCGCAGGGGCCCCATCGGTTCCTCCCCTTCGTGAAGCACCAACTCTGTGTCACCCTGCTGTTCAGGGTGAGGAGCTGTCACATGTGTCCTGCTTGATGGGCTACTGCCCCTCTGGCTGAGGGGTGAGTTGGCGTTCAGAGGTCCAAGGACACAGCCAATGAGACAACTCCTGGGTGTAGCCCTGAACGTTCTAGAAACCCGGGTGGGCAAGTCTCAGGATCCCATCCCATACCGCATGAGGAGGCAGCAGAGTGGGGGGCCTGGCAGGAGCCCCCCTGAACAGCCCCACAGTGCCCCAGTGCTGGGCCCCCTTCGCTAGTGACACATTTAGCTTGGCGGCTTCAGGAGCCCAGGCTGAGGCGTCTGCCCGCCCGGGTCTAAGTCATGGCTCCATTGCTTGTCACTGTGTGGCCTTGGGCAAACTCACGCACCACCCCGTGCCTCAGTTTCCCCACCTGCCAGATGGGATGAAAATAATCGGCCCTATGCTACAGAGGTGCGGGTCGGAGCACACCGATCCCCCTGGAAACCCTCCATGCTCCCACTCACTCCGGCAAGACCGGCGGCCTTCCAGGGGCTCCCCTGGCCCGACCGGCGGACCTCCCGCCATCTCCATCTGTTTCAGTTCTGTCCCAGCCACCCCAGCCTCCTCCTGTCACTCAGCAAACCCTCTCCCACAGCCCGAGGGCCTCCACTCTGCCTGTTCCTTCTGCCAGAAGCGCTTGTCCCCTGAGATTTAATCAGGGCGAACTTAACAGGCCACAGAGCACCCACCATTCCCATCGCGCTGCCTTCTAACTCTGCCATCCTGTCCTGCAGCGCATTCTACCACCCGCCCTATTAGAAATGTGCCTGCGGCCTCTTCCCACCCGCCCATCTGGGAAACGTGGCGGGTGCTCGATAACGGCCCACTGAGTGAGTGAGTGAAGGAAGGAATGAATGGCTCACTTGGCTGGCTCCCTCCCCGTCGCCCCCCCAGACCTAACCGGTGGCCTCTTCCTGACTGTGTGGACTCTCCTGTAACCACCTCCTCCGTCCACATGCAGTCACAGCCCCGTTTACCACCGCTGCTGTGACTCTGCATGGGCTTTCCATCTGCCTCCCACAGCCGGCCACGGGCAGGGGTCTCCGGCCGCATCTTGAACTTGGCTTCCCACCTTTCTATGGGTCCCTAGCACCCAAAGGCCAAAGGCCTAAGTCCCGAGACCAGCACCTCAGATCTTTCCCCTGCTGCTCCCGACTCCTAGCTACTGGCACACTGGGCGACCCTGATGCCAGGGACACAGGGAAGGAGCCCAGAAGGGCTGCCACATTTCCACACCTTTGCCTATAACAAACTCACCCCCAGCTTTCTTGGGGATCATGGACTGAACTCAGTTACATGGCAGATCCCCAATGAGATGGGGGCTAGAGCTTTTGATTCACCAATGTCCCTGTCACCTTGGTCACCTCCCTGATAGCAAGCACCTGGCCTGTGCTTCTGGGGAGCACTTTGGCAGCCTCAGATAATGTAAAAAGTTGGGGTGCACATGCATATTGGAACATGGGCACATGACTCAGTTTATTCAGTTGGCCATTCTTCTCGTACCTCCCACCGGTGTGGAAAAGGGGAACCACCGAGGTTTAAACTGTGGTTGGCTGTCCCACGCGGTAGATGTCTGAGGGAGAGAGACCACCTCTTGTGGACACGTCAGCCCCGAGCTACATGAGGCTGCTGCTGTTTTTGCATAAATGAGTTCCTTGTTGTCTATAATCATGAGATTTAATTACTAAAATTAATCAGCAACACAGTCAATAATAAAAATCACAGCAGCAGCTCTGCTCCTGGAACTGTGTCCTGGTTACTCCCTGTGGGGGCCCACGGCCGCCCTCTGAGCAGGCAGCCAGGGTCACCCTGGTTCCGGTGCAGGTTCAGTGACTCCCGAGGTCACGAGGCTGGGAGGGGCTGGAGGGTGGACGGGGACCCGGATCTGCCTGTCCTGGCAGTGGCCCCCAGGCCCTCACGCCAATGGGATCTGCACCCCTGTCTGTCCCGTGGCCACCTGCCAGTCTCAGGATGTGGCCGTGAGAAGCAGTTATCTGCTCAAAGGTCCAGCCCTGCACCTCTCCCCACTAGGCCGGGCTTTCTGGACAGGGAGGAGAGAACAGCAGGGCTTGGCTGCGAGGTTCATTTCTTGTTTAGATAAAAGCTGGGTCCTGAGCCATGCGAGGCCTAGTCTGGCGAGCGGACAAGTTGGCGGCCAATGGGTAAACATTAGACCAATACCTTGAACAGGGCAGGGTGGCCCGATCAGGTTTCAAACCTCAGTCTGCTTGCCTGACAAAGCCCTGGACGTCTACCCTAACCCTGCCGCCCGCTACTGCCCCATCACTCCGGCCAGGCCTGCCTGCTGGGCAAGCTCTGGGTCTGGGCGACAGCTAGGAGCGTTCAGGGAAGGAGGCAAGGAGGCTGGGGAGGTGGGCTGGGAGCAGCGGAGCCTGGACCCCGCCGAAATCACCCAAGGGGTCTGGAACCCCTCTGCCTCTTTCTTGCTGCATCTTCTCTCCTCCTCTCCAGCCTGGGCTGAGGCGTCCCCTGGGCCCCTTGCAGCCCTCTTGGTCATATTATTCTAATTATTTTGGTCACAGATAATTAGAGCCTCTTCCACCCGGAGGAGTTTCTCTGAAATGAAATTATCATCTGTTTCCCCGGGGCCACCTTGCTGGTGAGCGAGCGAATCCCTCCGTGATACTTACTATTGTGCTCCGGGTTTTGCTGTCGAAAAAGGAATCCTTGTCAGACAGGTCAAATCTGTTGAAATATCGGGAAGAGAAAGAGACACGGTTCGCAGCAGTCAGCTCTCGGGGTTCCTAAGGCCCCGGGAACCATGCTGGCCCCACGAGCAGCAGCTGTGAAATTGGTGCAACTGTCCACAGGCCAGGTGTGACCCGACCTGGCCACGGAACAGCCTGTTATTTACTTCTCCCCCCACCCCGCGGGGAGGCTGGGAGACCCACAGGGGGGGGAAGCGACCCTAGTGGCATGTGTGCTCAGACCGCCCCCTGGAGGATCCTGTCTCCTTCTGAGGACATCCTTATGGCCGGTGTTTGGTCTCTATCTGGACGCTGCTGGGTGTGGGGAGGGCAGCAGTCCACCATCACACTTCCAATATTTAAGACAATCTCCCTGCCACTTCCAAATGGCTTTGGTCCTGAGGGCTGGGGCTGCACCGACACTGCCTACGGCTTCCTGAGGGCACAGGGACACCTATGGGATAGGTCACCCACTCCCTAAGGTAGAGCTGGGGAGGGCGGCTCCAGGGGGCTGCAGCCTATGGAACCTGGAGGTGAGCCTGGCCTGGCAAAGCAGGGGCTTCCAGGGAGTTGCCCAGGGCAGAGCGAGGGAGGCCGGGGCCCCGGGGGTCCGGAAGGCGGGGTGCCCTTCTGATGCTTGGGAGTTCTGTCCTGGAGTTGGCAAAAGGAGCAGGACTGGGTCCACCTTCTTCTCCCTATTTCTTACCCCCATTAGGATTGGGACATACAGCAGAGTGAAGCACATGGTCTCTGCTCTGCGAACAATACGTTTGCCCTCGAGGTCTCAGTTCTGAGCCGACACATAGCTCTCCACACCCCGTGAGGCCAAGGGTGGCCAGGAGCTCCCCATCGAAGTCCTACTGCGTCCCCAGGGTTTCTCTTCCCACCACCGCCTATGCTCTAGCTCTGCCCAGCGACAGCAGCCACCGACCCAGGTGGCTACGCCCCACTGCCCCGAGGGAGTAAGGGAAGAGGGGAGCTTCCAGAACAGGTGCAGCGCTGCCAGGCAACCTGGCCGGCTATGGGTTCCTGGGGCCTCAGGATTCCAGCTGGGGCTGCCTTGCAGCTCCCGCCTCCGGGAGCCCTGGAGCCAGGCCGCTAACCAGACCCTGTCCTTGGACACATCCCGAGACAGGCGGAGCAGGGCTGGAGGGAGGGGTGCCCAGACCACTGCCCTGCGGCTGTGACCCAAGACCTCACCGGTGCCCGCACTAGTTTGCCTCAGTGTCACCTGGCAAAACGGCAAGACTATTTGCCCCCTCACTCCCTCAGTTAACAGTGACCTTGGAAAGCATTTTCGGGGCCTCTCTTGTGCTCAATAACTACAAGATCTTATGAAAACGGGCTCCAGGGGCTGAAGTGACCACTTCTCCAGGGGATGGAGAAGTCCCTTTGGCCTCAGAGGACTCTGTTCCACAACCCGCATTCCTCGTCTGTGTGCGATGTGCAGGGGAGATCACCACACAGCAGGGTCCTCCGGGGAGGGGCTGGGGGGTCTCCACTTACAGATGCTGCTTCTCCCGGGAGAAGGGGTAGGACAGCCTCTTCATGGTCTGGGGTCTGTGCTCTGCCACCTTGGGCTGGATGGGGTCCGTGATTTTCTGGAGCACGGAGTTGATCTTTTTCAGGAGGCCGTGGGTCTCGTTAATGTGATACAGCTGCAGACAAGACCCGGAAGGGGGAACCCACGTCATCTGCTGAGCTGGGACCCTTGGGATCTATCCTCAGACAGTCCCCGCACTGTCCCGCCCCAATGGGATGGCACGTCCTGGGAACAGCGCACAGCGATGGGACAGGGTGCCCCTCTCCACCCCTGGGGTTCCAGATGCACCCTGAAGCCCACAGTTCCAGGAGAAGTCCAAAAGTGCAATTATAATACATTCCAGAAAACGTCCCTTGAACTTTAGTTTCAAAAGAGGTAACCCAAAGGATTCTGTGGATTTGAGAGAAGCGGGGGCCAACTTACTCTGGGCACAGCCTCCCCCACTTTTCCTCTCTGCACCCAGATAAGCTTTGGGGAGCGCCCAGTCAGATGGCATCTGAGCTGTAACGTTTTCAGAGATTAAAAAGAAAAACGCCAGCCAGCTAGAAGATGTGATTAAAATGAGTCTGAGGAGCCAGCAGAGACACAAGGAGTATGACACAAGGACGTGTTTACAGCATGTCCCCGTGGTCCACCTGCCGTGTCACCTCCGGGAGGGTTTGGTCTGGGGTCTAGTGCCCTCCCAGGGTGGCACTGAAGCTCACTGGCTCTCATGGCACCTTAGAGCCCCCTGATGGCATCTGACTGTGGCATCTGCATGGCACTGGGACCCGGAGACCCGCCTCAGGGCAGGCACGTCACCACCAACCTTCTTGGTCGGCATCTTCAGTTTCAAAAACTCAGCCTCTCTGCATAGCACGCTCCAGGGTGCATGAATCTTCACAAACCCAACCCCGTGGATCTTAGTCTGGAAAGAGGAGACACGTTCTCGGTCAGCCTGGGCCGGCACTTGGGTTGAAAACCGTTCTCACCTTCAGGCGCAACTACAGTTTGTCAGGAGCCGCTGCACATGGCAGCTGTCACCTGTCACCTCACTGGCCCCTCGCGACAGTGCTTTAAGGCGCTGTTAGAATCCCCTCCTTGCAGATGGCACTAGGGAGCTCGGGGTTGAGCCTCACGGGATGGTGAGGAGCCAGAGGGCCTGCAGGGAGGTCCCAGGCTCCACAACCCCTGGGAAGTTTTCAGGGGGCTTAGCCGAGGCTCCTAAAGCAGCCCCACCACAAAAGGGGACCATTCACGGCACAGGGCCCAGGCCATTTGGCCTCCACCTGGGGGCCCTGTTGTCACTGAGCAGGCATGAAGGAGTGATGGTGAAGATGGCCCCTCTGGACATCTTCCCTCTGTGGCGACAGGCCACACAGCTAGTATCTTGCAGCTAGCAGGTGTGGGAGCCCATATTGAAATGCAGGCTGTGAGGCTCAGCCTGCACTTCTGGGCACGGATGGGATCCAAGATGCCACAAACGATTCTACTTTTCCACTTTTCTCTACCCCCACCCCCGCACCTCCCCTTGAATTTCGAGTTTAGGAGATTCCCTTTATCAAGTGAACAGCATCAATGCAGCAATCGCACGTTTCCCCCTCAAAAGCACACGCAACGTCAACAGACTTTCCAGGTGCCCTGAGATGACTGGGGTGCCCTGTGGCATTGATGGCACTGCAACAAAAAGCAAAAGAAACACGAGGTTTCTCTGAGCCAGAGCTACGCTGTGAAAGTGCAGCCCGCGTGGCCCACCAGACTTCAAGGAGACCCCCAGGAGTTTGGAGCCCAGGCTGGCCCCCAGAGTGAGGTCCCTCTACCTCTCCTTCCCCCAGCGCTGAGGCTGAAGGAACTGAGTGGGCGTCTTGGCCAAAGGGGACCAGGCTGTGGAAGGGAGGGTATGGCCCGCACAGGGTCACTCTCAGGACCCAAGGAGCCAGGCCAAATCAAGGCCGGCCACTCTCTTCCGGGCCCCACGTCACATCACCAGGCCGAGAGCCCATGGGTTCTTTGCAGGTTTTCGAAGGAAAGCAGCAGAGCCAAAATCACTGGGGATGGCTTTTAAGGAAAAAAAAGTCAAGTGGGCCAAATACAGTCACCCAGCACAAGCCTGAGCTGAAGCCCATGAAAGCGACATTCACAGGAACCCAGGAGAACGGGGTGGTGGGGCAGCCCCGCCCTGAGCCCTGCTGGGGAAGGGGACCCTCCCTGACACCGAGCTCCACTGGGGGTCCCTCCTCATCCCAAGGGAAGGGCAAGCCCATACCTCCTGGGTGAATTCCAGCCCATTGCGCCTCTGTGGAAGCTGACACTGAGGCCCCACGTCGCCCCATGGGGCAGGAACCACCCTCTCCCAGGGCCCCAGCTTTGATGACCCTGCACAGGCCTTCTCGAGGCAGCCCCGGCTCGGAGACCTGCTGTCAAATGGGTGGGCCAAAGCTGATGATGATGGTGACGATGGTCAGGGCTATGTGCCAGCCCCTGCTTTACACAGTCATGTACCTTAACTCATTTAACCCCCACGAAAACCCTGCAAGGCTGGCCCTGCCACTGTCCTCATCCTGTAGCCGAGGAAACGGAGGCACAGAGGTGCACAGTATGTGAGCTCATTACATGAGTTTCTGGGGCTGTTGTAACAAATGGCTGCACACTGGGCAGCTTAAACACAAATTCATTCTCCTCCAGTTCTCGAGCCAGAAGTCCAACATCAACGCGTCAGCAGGGCTGCGCTCCCTCCTGGGGCTCCAGGGGAGGGCCCTTCCTGCCTCTTCCAGCTTCGGGGGCTCCTGGCGTCCCTGGGCTGGTGGCCACATCCCGCTCATCTCTGCCTCGGTCTTCACATGGCCCCTCCTCTCTGTGCATCTCTGTTTCAAATCTCCCACTGCTTTCTCTTCTAAGGACACCTGTCATTGGATCTGGGGCCCACCCTAAATCCAGGATGATCAGGTCCGGAGATCCTTAACTTACATACGCAAAGACCCTGCTTCCAAATAAAGTCACGTTAGAAGGTTCCGGAAGCACACAGCTACGCCAGTCACCGAGCTGCAGCTCAAGCCCCGCTGGGCTTTGTGCACAGGGCCGTCCAGCTAAGCTGTCAGAGAAGCTTCGCAGCAGCGTGGGCCTGGAGCTGCGGCTGGAGACTGCTCGAGGACGTAGCCAGCAGCAGGGAGCTCAGGCCCAGGGACCTGATGGACAAGGACTCGGAAGTGTGATGGTATGGGGCCTGCCTGCGGGGAGCCTGGAGCCCTGACACGGCAGCGCAGGGCTGGGGACTTGTATTATGTATTAGGGGGATATTGGGCAAGGCCACATGACTTGGGGGCCTTAGGACCGAGTGGCCTGGGTGGGAGTCCTGCCTGCCCCTGTGTGGTCTCCACCTGTGTGGTAACTCAACTGCTCGGAGCCCCTGTTTCATCATCTGCCAATCTGGGCAGCACAGGACTTGCTCCACAGTTCGGGGAGCCCCTGGTGCCCAGCCTCCCAGCTGGCAGGAGAGGTCAGACAACGAGGGGCTGCCGCTTCTGCTCAGAACCACCTCTCCCCAGCCCTGAGGCAGCCGAGACCACACCTACTAGGAGCACAGACCCCTGTGGCCAAGAAGCTTGAAGCTGCCTGCCCAGCCCTGGGAAGCCCTGGCGGGCCCCAAGGCGTGGGTCCACCTCGTGGGGCACCCCTGAGCAGGGAGAAGCCACCATGCACAGGCCACGTGCGGCAGAGCGTGTCTCTTCCTGCTGCACACCAGGTTTATTTCTAGCACTACTCATCTGCACGCAAAGACCCAAAATACACCCTTGCGAGTCCATGGAGATTTCTCCTGATGGTCCAGGAGCTGGTGCCGCGGCTGGGCTCCCTGGGAAAACACGCTCCTCTGCTTACGTGAGCAGCAGGGTCTCTCCCAGGGAAACATCTGGTGGATTAGGAAAAGGGTCATGGGACCAGTTCAGCAAGAGCACATGTGGGAGGTTTCCAAACGCGGTGCCCGGCTTGATGGCAGTCCACCCCAGCGGGGAGACACCGTGAGACACAGGGTCCCCTTGTCCACCAGCCAGGGGTCCCAGAGCAGTGTCTGTCCTGACTCTGGCCCCTTGTGCTGGGGAATTTGGAGGTCACAGATCAGCTGGGGCCAGGAGCCATGGCGTGGGGGCTCCGTGAAGGGGCAGTCAGGGCCCTGGAACGGCCCCCAACAAGGGGGGTGGCGGGCCAAAGGACTTTCCCAGCACAAACTAAATACATTTAAACCTCCATTCGGAGCCCACCTCACAAAGGGTGATCTCATCAGAACTCTTTCCAGCATCTTCCTTTCAGAGGAAGAAGAAAATCACAAACCAAACAAACAAGACACCCCCGTGGGTGCATTTGTGGTGGTTGAGGACACTAAAGGGTCTCCTCTACTCCCCCTGGACCTTCTAAGTCACGGGCTGGACCACAGGCTCCACCATCCATTCGTGGCCACCTACTGTGGTGGAAGAGCGGGCTCAGAAATTGCTGGAAGGTTTGCACCAATAAGGGCCGAGTGTGGCCATTTCTGGTGGCCTTTGGCCCCCTGAGGGACCAGGGATGGCAGTGCTACCCCTTCTGCCCCACCCTCACCACACAGGCCACCTCATACCCTGGAGAGTACCTTTCGCTGTAGATGCACAGTCCTGAAATCAAGGAAATTAGGGGTCCCCAGGGTCCTGGTGCCACTTGGCAGGGCCTCCCTGGACAGTGTCCTGTGTGTGTAACCTTGGTCCTAGCTCTGGTCAGGTGGGAGCCCCGGGGAGTGTGCTATGCACACAGCAGGGAGACGAAGACCCTCCCTGAGACAGGCAGCCAGCAGCCCAGGAGGGGCTCAGGGCAGAACCCTGACCACCACGGGGGCCTGAGCAAATTCCAGGCTTTTTCCATCCGTCCTCAGCTCCCAGGAGGACAGTGCCTGTTTAGTGTCTGTTTAGATGACTGATGTGTCCCTAGGATGGAGACAGAGCCCGGCACGGAGTAGGTGCTCCATGATCTTTACGGAGTGAGCCATGAAGGAAGAGGGGGGACAGTCCCTGCTGACTACCTCCTGTGCGCCCACCCAGGGCAGCCCTGGCATTCGGGCCTTCGCATGGTCCTCCCCCCAGCCTACGGGGCATGTAACCTGTGCCCACGTTAATACATGAGGACAAGGGCCCGTGAAAGGCCTGTAGTCCAACCCTGGGGCCGGCCCTGAAAAGTTCCTGACCGCCCTCCAGCCAGATGGCTCCCTGGAGAGGTGCTCAGACACGGGTGTGGTTCTGCCTGGAGAGGCTGCCCGCTAACTGGCACTTTCTAGGTTGCGGTTACGGCTGACCATGTCCACACTGCCTGGGAGGAGCAGCTTTGACCACTCGGGCATGGTAGCAGCGTCACTGGAGTGACCACGCCTTTACAGCATCATGGTGTCCTCTTGACTCGGGTCAAGCAAACCAGGGGCCCAGTGAACTGTCTCTGAGGGAGGCTGGGAACTCACACAGGGTCCGGCTGGGGGCACCTTTCCCCCTTCGCTGGTTCTGTGCCATGACCAGCTGGGGGCACCTCCCACCCACACTCCACACAGGGACCGGCTGGGGGCACCTTTCCCACCACCCCTTGCTTTGCACAGGGACCTTCCAGAGGCCCATTCCCGGCCCTCTGCACTATGACCGGCCGGGGGCACCTCTGCCTGGCTCTCCATGCAGGGTTGGGGCCCCACGGCCTGTCTGCTTGAAGAAATACATGGTAAATAAATCAGTAGAAACTATTCATGCACAGGCCTGCTCTGTGACAGGCGGGTGGATTACTCAGACCCACCTTCCCACGGAAAATGATAAAACGATAGCTAAAATCAAGTAAAATGAAATGAAATGAAATAAACGTCGTGGCCTTCAAGATGCTGAATTGCTGAGAGGACAGCAGGGCAGTGCCAGGCCCAGAGGAGTGACCCAA